GATGATGGTTCTCCAACTTCAAAAGTCGAACCCCTGAAGAATGGTCGAGTTGGAGGAGGCAAATTGCTGATTGCATGCGCAGCTGAGCCCCTTGCAACCATGGGCCTGCTTGGGCTTAAACCCCCACTTCTCCTTGACGTTGCATATTGAGCAACATCCAGCTGATGTTCCTCAAGGAAATTTCGTATGTTCCCCTCATTATGGATATCCCTATTTAAACCCAATCGTCTACCTGGAGATAGCATAAGATCCGGCCTCACCGGTTCCTCCTCCATTTCAGTTAACTCAGAATCATCATTCGACAATTCCTCCTCACCAGTGTGAAATTGTTCACTCTCGTCACTTTCCTGGGCTGATAAAGAGTCATCATACGAATGGCTTTCTTCGAAACCCCTATCCTCCCTTGGCACTCTCCTATACATAGGAGATTCTTCTGGATTTTCATATGGTCGTAAGTCTAAACCTGTATTTCGAAACTGATACCAATCCGGTAAACCACGAATAAAGTTTGAGTAGAATGGGTATTCAGCTGGCCCATATAACACTCTTATACCATCCGCCTCCACCTCATTCAACCTACGCCTTACTCTCCTCCTTGCAACAACGGCATGGAGAGTGCAGCGAGATGTAGCATGGCCTGCACACCCACAAGACTTGCAAAATCTGTAGATGCCTTCATACCTCAAGTATACCCATATCACTCTATTCTCTTCCAGGGGTATAAAGCACCCCGGGATTAATGGAATAGAAAGGTCGATTAGCACTCAAGCCCTAAGCTCAGCATGTATAGGGAGTTCATCTCCTTCATGCTCTAGTTCTTCAATATATCCCACGTGCCGTAGGATTTTTCTTGCCCAACTTGACGTAAGGTAGGCCAAAGGTAGCCTGTATACCCTTACCCAAGAGTAAAATTCATTTGGTGGGGCACAAAGTCTACCTGATACCTTATGAGATTAAGTATTCTACCATCTATGATTGTTGTGTTGGCACGAATTAGGCCTTCTAGATCCTGGTTGTTCCTGCATTCGAACAAAAAGTACGGCCCCGATCTATGAACTCTTATCTCCCCCCTCCTTATCCAATGAGAATTCACAATATGTTGCACAAAATGCTCGGAAGGGGGATGTGGTCCAATGAATAAGCCTATTACACTGGAGTTGAAATTAATAGTCACATTCTAAAGATTAAAATTTTCTGGGGGGGGGGAATGAGAGGTCCCCCTCGCATATCTTGGGCTTGTTGATCATCATGAGCATTAGGAGGGTTCCTATTATTACTCATGGTATTAGACAAGAAGAATTTAGAGAATAAGACAAATATAAATGAAGAGGGAGAGAATAAGAAAATGACAGACTTAGACAATTAAAGAAGTAAAAACAAGAAACAGGAAGAAGTAAAGGTGAGAAAGAAGATGATTGACAGAGCTAGAATTCGTTGCATTTATAGGCGAACTCAAGTTCTTGGAAGAGTGAAACACAACACGCATGGGGAGCAAGCACTGGAGAATTTAATCCCCTAAATGGGTAGCCGCCTCTAGCTATAAAAGGACTGCACCATTAGAAGAAGAGCAATTACTGCTTGAAATTTATTGGTTGTGAAAAACGAAAAGGAGGCCCTCATCAATATTGGAACAAGCAAAGGCTATTGAAAGGTTAAGACCTTTTATGGGAAACGAGGTAAAATATCAAAACCAAGAAGTTAATCCTCTTGAATGAAGAGAAAGATGGTTAAGAAAACCACAGACACAAGTAAACGATTGATATTCCTCCCACCTAGAAGGGCTATGAAGATATGCAGGGATAAACTGGTACATGCATGAACTCGTTGAAGGAGATATGAAGAACCCTAGCAAAGCTAGTGAAACTCACTTTTAGTGAGAGAAGCTCTCGATTTTAAGAGAGAGAATTTCTTCTTTTGCAAAAGTATTGCGTACAAAATATTTGCAAAATCAGTAAAATAGAAACATTAAGTAAAAGATTACTTATATAATACGTGTACCTAAAAAAAAGTTACTTCAAAACTTCAAATACTTGTATTTTATTATTTTTTTCCAATTAAATATACAATTTTGGTAATAAAATAACTCTTATTATTATTATCATATGAACTATGAAGTATAGATTTTGTCAAATATTCTCCAAAAATCATGCCTAACAACCCTTTTTTTTAGTATTTATATTTAATTTATCATATTTATCTTAAACTTGATAAATTTTTGTTGTTTTTATTTTTGTGATCAGCATTGACATGTATTTTTATATAATCATATTTATCTTTAGTTTAGACAAAGCTAATTTATTTATTTTTTTCTGTTTTTTTTGGGAGGAAATGTGCGGAGTTTTTAATTTCACTTGAGGACATAATAACTTATTAATGGTGAACAAGATATAATGTATAAATGATTACTTATTCTATAAAATCATTTTACGTTTCATGAATATTTCATAAAAACTCAAAAGATCATAATTCCCTTTAAATTGATTTGTTTAAAATAATAAAATAAAGAGTTAAATATTTTTTTTGTATGAATTTTAATGAGGCTAATCATCGTTCATCAAAGGCACGCGGGATATAATTGATATTTGAACCAAAAATCAGTGTCTAAATTATGCTAATTTAAGCTTATGACCTGATCATTGAGGATATAAGCTTGTTATGGAGTAATTTTTTTTTTTTTTTTTGCTTTCATACTCGTAGAGGAGGTAACACAGTAGCACATTGGGCTGCTAGACTTGATCCTTTGTATGGTGATGATGATTGTATCTTCACTGAGTATTATTGCTCTTGTGGATCTAGACTTGGTGTAATTTTGTTATTCAATTAAATCTCCCCCTCCCATTTGCCAAAAAAAAAAAAAAAAAAAAAAAAAAAAAAAAAAAAAACCTTTTAATTAATTGGCTAAAAAAGCTAAATATAATTATATATTTTAAAAAATTAAATGTTAATACACAAATTTGGTAAAAAAAATCATTCTTTAAATAAATTTTTAGGTAAAGATAATCAAGGTAAATTTAGTCAAACCTATCACCCCCAATTTACGGAAAACATCACGTAATTTCAGGCTTTTTTTTTTTTTTTTTTCCTATTTTCATTATTTCTTAAAACCAATGTTAATATGCTTTTCCCGTCAAAAAAATCTATGTTAATATTTTTTTTAAATTTCATCTAAAATCATATGACCACATCACGTTATTTGAGTTTTTTTTTTTTTTTTTTTTTTTTTTGGTAAAGAACTCTATTTTCATTATTTCTAAAACCAATGTTAATATTCTTTCAAAAAAAAAAAAAAACTGTTAATATTTTTTTAATTTTATCTAAAATCACATGACCACCTTCCTAATTTATGATTATTATCAATTTGAGATCTTCAACCTTCAACAATGGCACGTTGTTTATATTTGAGAGCTTCAATATTCAACAATGGTGGATAAATAAAAAAATATAATTAATATTAAATAAACATGAAATCATAAGATATAATACAAGATTCTTTAAATGAAAATATTTATGAAGATAATCAGATTGATTATAATCTATAAAATTAATTCGACATAAAATTGAAGAATATCATGATAGTTATTCATTAAATTTATTAATTTCTTAGAAACTTTGGTAATCTATGGATGGATTATAGATAAAGAAGAAGGTTGAAGATGTAGGCTTGGCCGAAAGATTTCATGAAGGTTGAGTTAGCAATTTAATGGAGTTTGAGTTTGGGTTTCTTTGGAAAAAAAAAAAAATTACCCTCTAAAAGTAAAAAAAAATAAACAACACTTTATTGACGGGTCGCAGAGTGGTCATGACTTAAATGATGTGTAAATTAGATTTTTTTAATTTTTTAAAAATGTAATATTTAAAGACTAAGATTAAACAACAAACATAATAAACGATCTAGATTTAATCTCTTAATATAGTCGTCTGTAGTCGACGACTATACTAGAAGCTTCGTTCTATCGTTGCCGAATTTTATTGGCTACTCCCTAGTTTGCATGCATTAATTAATCAACTTGAACAAAGCTTACAGAACTTAATCACTGGCTTTAAGGAACGAATGTTTTAATTGCAAAACAAACAAATACTTTGATTTAATAATCTTAAAAATTCTATATCCCAAAAGTCATGAAATTACAACTATTTATAGACTAAAAACTAACATATTCTAAGTGTAATAGGACTAGGACAAGCCCCTAGCCTTTAGCTCCAAGTAACCCAAATAGAATAGAAAAACTAATTCTACTTAGAATAGGAAACTAGTAGTAAGACTAGTTTGATTTAGTCTATAATTCCTAAAATAAATCCTAAATTCTTAAACCAAGAAAAACCCTTTCAAGTGAAAGGTAAAATCTTGCTTGCAAGCAAAAACTAATTAAATAACATTAAGTAGAGAGAGTAGTGTGATCCGAAACTTGAGCTTGTACTAGACACCAAGTTCCTTTGCTTGAACCGTCCAAGAATCGCCAATTTGTAGCTTCTAATGAGTTAATGTTCAAGTTTAGGTTTTCCTTGTAAAGATTTAACAAACTCTCGAAGTTCTCATCAATATCTGGATTAGTTATTGTGAAAAAAAATTCTCCAAACGCTTCCAAGTATCAATAGCCTTGTCATCGAGATCGGTAATGGAATTGAGAAGGTAATTGAAAATAGTATTGTAAATTTATTGACAAACAATATCATCAAGTCGTTGCCATAGAGCTTTGTCAGAAGGTTCGACAACCTTTTCTATTTCATCAACAACTGGAGGAATAATATGGTGTACCGAATTCGCGCGGCGGCAATGAAGTTGGAATAGAGTGGACCAATTGTTGTATTGGGTGTCATCGTAATCAAGAGCAATGGGAATGCAAGTCTTGATATTTGTGACAAGGGTAGCCGGGTGGATCTTCTGAGTTTCGGCCATGGAGGAAAACCGAAAAGGAAAGAAAGAGAATTGAAGAAGGAGAAAGGGAGATAGCGGAAGAGAGTAGAATTAGGGTGTAGAAAACATAGATTCGTGATACCATGAGAGAATATGTGAATATTTTCCGTGCCTTTTTCATTGATTAAATATCCTTAGTCCTAATACAACAGTATATTAGGGGTAGGGCTAAGAATACATTAGTAAAAATACAAACTAATAATATACACTAGATTATTTACATAATCTAACAAAACTCTTTTTTGACAATAGTCAAGGTAACACCTAAACCTAAACCAACCCTCGAAACAAAGGAAATTTCCAAGAACGAAAAAGCCAATAAGCAACCTAACCACAAATTGAAGTTATTAAATCTAAATCAAACTTAGCAAGTTAAGAGGAATGAACTTATGTATCTGGGATATATATATTTTACTATGATGACTAAAAGTTTAATGATCATTTTAAAGAAGTACAAAAAATTAAGACACTTTAGATGGAGTATATTAAGTGGATATCAAACTTCTCATATGTTAGCTTATGTATGTAATACCAGAAATTCACCCCCTGCAAATTAGTCCGGTCCCACATTAAAGCTATATGTCAACGATAATTGCATCATACTAGTATAACAGTACGTTACACTAAACCACTTAAAATAATAAGAATATGACCTCTTTATCACAAACTTTCATCAACATAAAACACAAGTTATATACAAAATTGCTATATAGATAAATGAAACCAATGCAAGCTTAAAAAACTAAGAATATGGAGCAGAAAAGATGAACACAATTGATTGAACTCATTGAAGTCACATAATAGTGCAAGGTGGAGTTGGATCTTGGTAATCCATAGTCATCATAGCAACGGGCTTGCAAACATAGCATCCACCTGGATACGAATACGGGTACGGACACAGACACGTGCACTTCTTCTCATCTTTCTTTTCATCCTTCTTTTCATCGGGCTTCGGAGGAGGTCCAACAGTTACAAAATAGGCTGATTTGCCTGCTTTTCTTATGCGTTTGATTATAGCAAATGGGTCTGCAACTCCTATCACTGCTATGGTTCCTTTTTCTGTATCAGCTTCAATCTTATTCACACCTAACAAATGATTGACCACAACCATGTATTAGAAAAACAAAGTTAAAACAAAGTTATACCATCACTCTTTGATTAAACAATAATTAATATCAACGTGACTCGATATATATATGGCTATCTCTTCAACTTATTTTTGTTAAACTATTTTCAACTTATTTTTGTTGAACTATTATTATTTTTACTAAACTGAAATTATTATTACCGATTTTTCTATTATGTTGATTATTATTACATATTTTCTATTATGTATCCTCTTTAAAGTTACTGATTTTTACTAAACTGAAATTATTTGACTAAACTAAACTTATTTTTATATTGAACTGAATTTACTTTTACTTAAAATAATTTTTGTAAGGTGAAGAGAACACGACATTCAGTCATGTCAACAAGTGATTTCCAACCTTATTAGATTAAGAGTGAAGATTATCCCTTATGTATCCTCTTACTTTTAATGTGTCTAATCCACTAATTCGAACCTGATTAACCCATCTAGCCACAACCACCTAGTTGGTTCATGATCTTCTTCTAATTATATGGAAGGAAAAAACAACCCACCCCTTTCCTGTTAGTGTCTCCTTTGACCATTGTACTCATTCCCATCCACTTTCAATCTTAAAGATTAGTGTTGGCCAAACGCACTATTTATCTTTTTGTTAACTTTTTCTTAATTGTTTTGTTGTCAAAAAACTTATTCTTGTTTATTGATTTTTATCTAGAAGAAATTTTAAAGATTAAAAAATCGAACTACATATATCTATCATAATTTGCGTAATTAAAAAGAAAGATGAACTAATAATTAACTAAGGAAAGTTTTGTTACCTTCTATTTTGGACACAATAGAGAAGACCTCTTGCTTGCACTTATCACAAGAAACATCCACCTTCAAAACTGTTTTATGCACCATTTTTAGGGAACTTTTTTCCTCTCAACTTTCTCCCAAACGATGAATCCAACAACTAAAAATCACAATCTTAGTTAACGTACACAAATAATACAATCCTCTAACTTGTCATGATATTTAAAAGACAAACATAAAAGACCCAACAACCAACTACAAAGTCTTATTTATTTTAATTTGGTAACATAAATTCTTACTTTAATTATTTGCATGTCTTCTTGTTAATTTTTTTTTTCCCCCCTCTTGGAGACCTCTTCCCGGAAAATTCTTCGATTTGGAAGCCTAATGTTTTTATTATATTATTGTGGATACATATAATTACACTATATGTAGTATATGTGAAGTTAGAAAATAAACCAATAAAATTGTACGTACACTACTTGTGAAATTTAATAAATGGTCAATTTTTGTGAGCACCGTACCAAACGAATAGAAAAATAAAAATACTACTATGACAATGATTTTACCAAATAAAATAATACAAGTAATAAGGTTGCAGAAAAATTAATGTGCATGAAAATTCAATGAAGGATGTAAATTTGAAGAAATTTGATAATTAATCTCTAATATAATTTTGTTGTATTTATCTAATAGTAGTATATTATAGTTGAGTAGGTATTGAAGATGGGTACGATCATATTGTTTATTGATTTGTAGTTGAGACGTAAGAATCAGTTGAAAAGGTCTACATGCATGCAAGATGTTGACATTAAAACGTATTTTTATACTAACGAATATGGTTGACGTACAAATTGACAATTTGACACTCGTTTAGCCAATGGATTAGGATTGACGTTTATTTTATTATGAATATTAAATATAGCTTAGCTAGCTAATCATTAAGGTAATTTTTCATAGACGTTAAAATTGACAATTTGACACTCGTTTAGCCAATGGATTAGAATTGACATTTATTTAATTATAAATATTAAATTGAGCTTAGCTAGTTAATCATTAAGGTAATTTTTCATCTACATTTTTTAAGGTTTAGAAAGTGTGAGTAAACATACAAAGGTATAATATAATTTGAACAGTTTACGCACTATTAACTTTCATTGATATTAACATGTGTAAAGTCATGCTAAGCTTGATTTAGTAGAAAAGAGAGCAGCTTCCAACCACGTATAGATTGGATGTTCAATTCAATCTCCACTGGTTATGTTCCCTTATCTTTTCTCCCACTTTCCCAAATTGGCTGCTCCGTCAACCCTAGCGAGATGACCCATAAGAAGTTCCGGTATGATGGAGTCCTTCTTGCAAACAAAATAAAGATTATTACTATGTGTAAAAATCTACTTTTCTTTTTCTTACTTATAATATAATTTATTTCATTAACAACTGTAACTACATCTCCAAACAAAACATAGGAATTTAATTTTATATACCTAAATATTTTAATACTTCCTCTGTTAAATATTAATTACAACAAAGGAATATTTTATATCTCACAAATAATACCCCTTTGTTGCAATTAATATTTAACGGATGAAGTATATAAGAATAGTTGCAATGAAAATAGGTATATATGAGTTGAAACATAAACAAGGGAATTTACCGTATGTTTGGATAAAGAAAGGGGAAGGAAAAGAAGGGGAGGGAGGGGAAAGAAAGGGAGGGGAGGGAAGAATGGTGAGTTTTCCTTCCAAATTTCTCTATTGTTGGAGGGATCAATTTCTTACAATCTAATCCCTCCATTTCTCTCCCCTTCAATTTCCTTCCTTCTTTATTTGTTATCCAAATGAAAGATGTTTCATCTCTCCATTTCACTTCCCTTCCTTTCCCTCCATTTCCTTCAATCCAAACACACTGTTACCTAAAATGACAAATGTAACCATCATTTAAAAATGAAGAGAGTACTCCAATAAACCTTCATCATTATTGGGGCAAATCAGCTTTGAGTTCGACAACATTAAAACTCAACAAATTTATAGATTTTAAATTAATTGGCAATAGCCCACCAAACTTATAGTCATTCTCTGATCTGTTTCATCAATGTTGAATAGCAAATAACTTCCCAACTTGTTATCCTGTAATATATATATATAGGGGCTTTTGGTTAGAACTAACAATGTAACTATTACCTTTTCATATGTTTAACTATGGAAAGAAATTATTTAGTGTTTGAGAAGGGTAAGGGTATTTGTTACCTTAGATTTTAGAAAAGTAACAAATGAGTAGAATTCGATCCCTGGCCTTACCCTTAGGTAAAGATAATTGTTACCAAACCTTCTAACCAAACATTCAGTAATGATAATGGTTTAAATGAATCCATTTCCAACTCAAAATATTCGCTAACCAAACATGCTCATAGATCCACCTCCTCCTCTACAAGATCCCACCACCTCCTCCTCTACAAGATCCACTTCCTCCACCACAAAATCTTTTTCCTCCACCTCCACAAAACCTTTCTCCATATCAAGAAAGTGAACAATATTCTTCTCCATCACATAATAACTTTCCTCCAAATCAAGATGTATGGACAATTTGTTCCTGAAGTTACTTCAAGTCCTAGCTAGAGCTCGAGTTGATGATGGAAGATTAAGTGAAGATAATATTGTCAATCTTCTACAAGACCTAGGACAAAGGGGAAAATTGAGTGATGCTCATCCTGATGATAAAGATTTAGCGAGGAGGACATACCTTCAAAGAAAGCCTTGCGAACCTAAAGAATTTTTTTTTTTTTTTTTTTTTTTTTTTTTTACCTCAAACCGTTTTCGAAACCAAAATGCGTCGATTTAATGTCAAATGGTTTGATACTTGGCGATCTTAGTTTGAATATAGTGTCTCCAAGGATGCTTCTTTTAGTTTCATTTGTTATCTAGTCAAGGGTGATAACACTGTTGGAGGTGATGCTTTTGTTTGTGATGGTTTTCGTGCTTGGAATAGACTACAAACAATTCAAGATCATGCAAGCAAACACATGAGTGCTCACCATAAAGTCGTTGTGACTGCTATGGAGTTATTCAAGAAACAAAAGGGTAGTATTATCACTGCTTTATCAAAGCAAACGGCGGAAACTAGAAGTGCTTATCGTAAGCGATTGGAGGCTTCAATCACAGCCATTAGGTGGCTTTTACTTCAAGGGCTACCTTTTCGTGGCCATGATGAAAAAGAAAGTTCATTGAATAGAGGTAATTTTATTTCTCTGTTGACTCTTCTTTTAGAACATGATGTTGAATATTCCAAAGTTGTTTTTAAAATGGCACCCGGTAATTATCAACTTACTTCTCCGGGTATCCAAAAAGATATCATCCATGCTTGTGCAAAAGAAACAACTAAAGCAATACTTGAAGATCTTGCTGACGAGTCTGTCGATGTTTTCGATAAAGAACAATTGGTTCTTTGTTTGAGATATGTTAGTAAAAAGGGAGAAGTGTGTGAAAGATTTCTTGGTATTGTGCATGTTGCTAATACTCATGGAGTATTCTTTGACTTTCTCTCAAGTTCGGGGTCAGGGCTATGATGGAGTAAGTAATATGCAAGGTTCAATCAATGGCCTCAAAGCTTTAATATTGAATGAATGTAAACAAGCATACTTTATACATTGCTTTGTTCATCAATTTCAGTTGACACAAGTTGCCCTTGCTAAAAAAAATATCAGATTGTACTTGGCTTTTTGTTGATGTACTTTGCTCATCAATTTCATCGTTGCTATGAGAAATGATGACAGGTTTTCGAATTTGAAGAATCTTAATGAGATTTCCGTGAAACTTGTTGAGACGGGAAAGCATGAAACCCATGAGCGAGCGTACTTGCTTTTGAAGTTGGTTCTAACTCTTCCCGTGCAATCTGCATGGCAATTGTGGAAAGAGTATTTTCTGGAATGATGCAAGTGAAACATAAATTGCGTAATAGCATGGGAGATCAAATGTTGAATAATTCCCTACAAGAAAATTATCTTTTTGTAGCGATTATTTTAACATTTGGTATCGATTGTAATTGCTAACAAAAAATCTCAACGAATGGTTATTAGATACAACATCCGCCGTTATCATAGTTTTTAGTAGTATTTTTCGCTTCGCTGGGATTGTCTTCATTAATCGATATGGAAACTGAATATTATTATATTTTTTTTATCGATTTAATATGGGTTTACTCAAGAGTAGAAGCTAAAATTAAATTAGCGATGAACCATAATTAGTAAAATTAACATTGATTAATAAATAAATAAATAAATAAATAAATATATACCTCAGATTCTGTTTCGATCAGAATTAAAGCTCAGTGCTTCAAAAAAAAAAAAAAGAATTAAAGCTCAGAGGAGCTTCAGTTGAGGTATACTCAAGATCCATGGCAGAATGAATCGGAATTGAGAGCTCTGCCATGGACGAATACCGAAGAAAACATACTTAAAATGTAGATCGTTGAGCAATTAGTCTAAATAGTTTGATAGAAATTCATAATCCAAATTTTATAAACAAAAATCTGAGAAATTCAGAGTTCCAGAATATTAGATTATAGAGAGAGGAGAGATTGAGGAGAGAGGAGAGATATAAAAACGGTTGATGGAAAGAAATAAAATACGGAGTAATAAAACTCTAACACGTGATCTATTTGTAAGGGCCTTATTTGCCTGTTACAAATATTTGATTAGTTGTGTATCGGTCAATATTTCGCCCGTTACAAATAACAATTATTTGTATCGGTCAAAATTTCGCTCGTTACAAATAGTGATTATTTGTATCGGTCATAAATGTTGCCCGTTACAAATACTCTTTTTGTAACAAATTTAATTTTTTTTTTGGTTCATATGAGCCATTAGGGCGGGGATGATAATCGATCCCAGGATCACCTGGAATCGGGAAGAAAGCTCTTACCAACTGAGCTATCCCAATTACCAATAAGGCGTTACAAATGAAGTTTTTTCCAATAGTGATTGTAAAATGATATAGATTTCTCTATTATTTCACAAGCATATGTGCATATTATAGCGAATGTACGACAATTTTCTTGTAGTGATTGCTTGATTACTTAGAGAGAGAGAGATATGTTTTTAAATGTTGACATGAATGATATTATTATAAATGGATATTAAAACATGAAAACCCGCAGGGAGCAATTGTAATTTTTTTTTTATTTGGTTGTAATAAGGATATTTAATTAATACTTTTGAAATGTATTTTTTTTTTTTAATATTCATACACTAATTATTGATTAGTATACTTGTAAAATCCTGGATTCGTCACTAAATACACCACCTTTCTGAAGGTAGCTTAAAGTTTCTTGTTCGATCTCCGACTAATCATCAAACTCTATGTTATATTTATGATTTTATTTATCTTAACTGTGGGAACTCTTCCAAGCTAAGAGGTTAGGTAATAAAAAAAGCGAGGAAATTTATAATGTATGTTAGGTACGAGCCTTCCATCAAGTATATTAGGTACGACATACGGATATTCATATGGCAAATTGGCAGTGAAACATTTGCATGAAAAGAGCGATATGAATGGTCTTATTAAGTATTAATTATGCTCTTAGAGTCTTAGGAGAGGACATTAATTAGTTACAAAATTAAATATCAGGGTCTGGTGAACGACGGTACTCGCTCATTGGCAATCTCATGAGCCTTTTGAACTTATTATCGAGGAAGTACTAATGTAGGTTTGATATGCATTTATAAATGCATAAAAAATACTAAAATATTGAAAAGCACATGGGGGTGGAAAAAAAATAGGAGAGAGATTGGTAAGTGGAACCACTTTTACATGTACCACTGAAAGCTTATATAATATCATTAACTATGTATGATATTATTTCTACACGTAATTAGTACCACTGAATGAATATATAGTACCACTAAATGTTTAATTGGACTATTTGTCTATTTGATCATCTAGTGATATTATTGATCACCCAATGATACTACTAAATTCAGAATATATATTTTCGTGAAATGACCCTCATGTCCCTCGTTATGCATTTACTCATATCTCACTAACCTCCCTTGAAAGACCTCCTTATTTTCGTGTTACCTTTATATGACTGTGCACCCGTAGTTTTTCTTGTTTTTATTTCTTTTCTGGGGCCTAGCCCTCGTGTTGAGTATTTAAGTATTTACATGAAGATGTCGTAGGAGTCAGTACTATGTCTTATTAAGTATTTACATGATGATGTCATAGGAGTGGCTATGTCACGTTTTGTTCTCCCATAGTTTTACTTGTTTTTATTTCTTTTCTGGGGTCTAGAGCCCCTCGTGTGCAACAACAACAACAACAAAATTTTGTGACTGTGCAATTCTGAAAGGTAGCTCCGGTTGCATAATTCTTCGGTCCTAGTAATTGTAAGGAGTAAACAAGAGTTTCTGAAGATATATCATAATTAGGATTCTATAGTCTTGAAAGGTTTATAAGCGTTTTCCTTTATTACAGCATTAGTCTATTAATTACGAGTTGCAATTTTATTTATTTAATTATTTATCTATGTACTGTAATAACTTTTTTTTTTTTGGTGTTTAGAGAGCAACAAGGACGGGTGATGAGAATCGATCCCAAGATCACCTTGAATCGCGAGAGGAGCTCTAACCACTTGAATTATCCCTCACTGTATTTATTATTTATATATATATTAGAACCAAGTTATAATGAAAACCAAATCTATATGACTATATGCTACAAGTATAATCAAAGTTAGCAAATAAATAATGCAAAAAGTGAAAAAGTTGCATCTATTGTGAAACCGGCCCAATTATGTAAATGGGTTAAAGATCAATTGTTTTCAGGTTTGGATTTTTAACCTGAACCTAACCCGTTTATATTCAAGTCGGATTCAGGTTGACCCAATTACATGAATGGGTTGAAAATCTCATTCAAAACCCGTATATTTAGGTTGGGTTCGAGACAGGTTATCGGATTGGGTACGCTTTTGCCAGCCCTAAGTGTAGTGGCATTTGAGGCACTAACAACATTTGAGGCACTAGCAATAGTGAAATGTTTTTATATCCTATGTTTACGTGCACACTACTTATTCTCTCTTCCTTTATCCATTTATATACTCACTCTCTTATATCTAACAGATTATCGAAATGGGTAGATGTGGAATAAAAATATATACAGATTATAAACTTTAATTTTGGTTACATCTACGATATAATTACTTTATTTTATAATTTTAAATGAAAAGGAAACAATAACAATAATTGCCTGAAAAAATTAATTTGCAGCAATATATAAGTGTTTTACTCTTGCCTTCTACTGTTTTTTTTTTTATTATTAAAAATGGCTGCAGTGTGTGGATGGTTAACAGGTGGAGACGTAGAGTAGCACTCTCCATACACAATCCGATCCTTCATCCGCTTTGAGTAATTCCCTGTTCCTCACTGTGAGGAACAAGTTTTATTTCTCTTGGGGTATGTGTCAAGAGCAGAGAGGTCCACCCAAAATTGGTAGGCGGTCCCCACTAGTGAAAAACATCACATTATTTTCCAAAATGTCATTATGAGAAACAAAAGTGTTCCTCGTGACGAGGAATTGGGGCTCCCTCATCTGCTTTATTCGTCGCCTATTTTAATTTGAATTTTTGTTCATTTATTTAAAACTGTCGGTGGATCGTATTAGCAGATATTCGATATTGTCATCCTACTTACATGGGGCTATGCCTAGGATTGTCAACTACTTGTATTTCAAATAATTTGGCCGAGAAAGTGTGGAAATGATAACAGCAAATTAGTTTGCTGGCATCATACATTTTACTTTAAAAAGAAATAAGTACATGTGCGAATAGTTGAACCAACCCACCTCATTGACGAAAGAAAACACAGCTAATCTCAGCTACCACTTCAATTGATCGAAGATGGCAATTCCAATACACAACCGTTGGTCTCTCAATGGAATGACCGCTCTTGTTACTGGTGGCTCCGGCGGTATCGGGTACCATTCTCTACACTCTTTTCTTTACTTCTTTCGGTTAGATCGATAGATCTATTCGTACAAATTCTTAGTTGTTCTTGGATAATTAATTAAAAGATTGATAGGCCAAGTTTGTGTACTCAATGTTATTTTTATAAATCATTTCTCATTTAAGTGAGCAACTAGGTAGCTCAAGCAAATGAACAACTATAAATGCAAAATTTACATTTCCTTCGTTTTTTATTAGATGCATCATTTTTGAAGGGTGTTGTTAAACGTCGTTCGCAAGTTACAGGGTGACGCTCGCATTTTTTACTTGAATTTCCTAATTTGCCCCTCGTATATAAATACTCGGGAAACTCACCTCCGAAACTCGCAAGTCATTTCACAACCCACACACTCTCTCTCTAAAAAAAAAGTCAGAAATTTAAAAAAAAAAAAAAAGTCAGAAATCTAAAAAAAAAAATCAGAAATTTTTTTTCAAAAAAAACCCCAATTTGAAAATCAAACAAAGAACAACGAACACCAATCGAAGGTTGAATCCGGGTATGACGGACCGGCGACGCGTTGGGCTGACTTACGGTGGTCGTGGGGGCGGCGTTAGTGGCGGCGAGCAGGTTAGTTGGTGTTTTATTGTTTCGGATTTTGGAAAACAAAAAAAAAAAAAAAAAAAAAAAAAGTAAAACCCAGACTTCCGCCTGAAATTTTCAGATGTTTCCCCAGACTTCCGGAAATTTCAGGCGGAAGTCTGGGTTTTCTGTTTTTTTTTTTTTGGTCAATTTGTTTTGTTTTTTTTGTGTTTTTTGGTCGATTTGTTTTTTTTTTTTTTGGGTCGATTTTTTTTTTTTTTGTATTATTTGTGAGAAATATAATTTTATTGTTATTGTTATGTGTATGTTATTTATGAATTTCCGAATTTTTTTTCCGTGTGATTATTGATATGTAATTTTTTTTGTGAGTAATATAATTTTAATTGTTTTTATTGTTATTGTTATGTGTAATTGTTATGTATTATGGTTTTTATTAATTTCGGAAGTTTTTTTCCTCGTGATTATTGATATGTTTTTTTTTTTTTGACTAATATAATTATATTGTTTTTGTTGTTATTGTTATGTATTGTTGTTATGTAATTTTTTCGTGATTAAAATTGGATAAAAAATGGATTGAAATTATTGTTGTTGTTGTTATTACCATTGTTGTTATTAGTTGTGTTGTAATGTTGCCGATTTTGTGGTTTATTATTGTTTTGATTTGGTTTATTGTTATTGATGTCAAATTATTATTAGAATTTCCGGATCTCTAGTGGAGGATCCGGAAATTTCAGGCGGATCCTCCATTAAAGTTCCGGAAAATTTGGGCGGATGTCCACTTCAAAAAAAAAAAATATTTCAGCGACATACATATTCTTCCGACGAAGCCTCCGGCATACGATCGTCGCCGTCGTTCATCGTCCACGACCAGTCGCTACACCTTGATTATTTTTTTCCGGTAAACGGATTAAGATTTTTGGTGGTGAGCTCGGGATTTTTGGGGGCGCGTGATTTTTTGAATCGAAGTGGTGGGCTCGGGATTTTTTAATGCCAAGTGACAATGTGGTGGAGCCATATATAGGCCAAAATCACATAAGGGAAAAAAGGTCATTCCCTCTTAAAATGGGAACGTCACCCTGTAAATTGGGAACGACGAATAGCAGTTCAGCTTTTGAAATTGCGGACTCTTAGACAATGTTTGGAGTAGAGAGAGAAAAAAAAAAGAGGGCTTATGTGATATGAGAGAGATAGAGAGAATTAATTACCTAAAAGGAAAAGTGATCGATTCATTTAATTGAAACATCCTTATGTAAAAAGTGGTGCATCTAATAAAAGACGGAGGAAGTATAGTTCAATATTTACATGATGTGTACCCCTAGTACACAAGTATTAGAAGAAACTCATAGAAGTTCTCATTGAGTCATTGTAAATTACATAATTTATAGTTGGAAAGCATTTAGATTTTGTTCTTTTCGCCTTTATTGAAAAATATAAATTAAAAAATTACAATAAATTGTTTTATTAAGTATCTAAGTTTTTATTAAAATAATAAATAAGTCACTGTATAAAGTAAGTATTTATTAAACATATAAATATCTTATACTTTCTTACGACATATATATATTCGGATATTCTTAAAGTACACAACATTTTAAGCTACAAAATACTAAACTCAGAGAGTGAGGGATAGCTCGATTGGTTAGAGCTCTCCTCCTAATTTTAAGAGATCTTGGGATTAATTCTCATCAACCGCTCTTATACCTCTCTAAACACCAAAAAACAAAGTACAAATCTCATAACCATTCCTTATAAATTTGTCCACTTTTCTATTTTAGTTTGTCATGTTTGTTAATCCTCGTTTTTAAAAAAAAAAATATATTTCATTTAATATTGATCGACACATGACTATGTTAAAAGTGGGAATCAATAATAGCAGCATGACCTACCTCTTTTATATATTTTCCTTTTACTATTTTACCTTGTAGATTAGCCGTTGTAGAAGAGCTAGCCAAACAAGGGGCCAAAGTTCATACATGTGCTAGAAATGAGGCTAGACTTGAAGAGTGCATACGCAATTTTGAGGCTAAAGGTTTCCAAGTTAGTGGCTCCATATGTGATGTAGCACAACGAGCCGAGCGAGAAAAGCTAGTGGAAACCGTTTCTACCAAGTTCAATGGCGTGCTCAACATCTTGGTTAGTATTCATATACTCCAATTTATCCATTTTTCAATCAATCGATTATTACATTTTTAATATGATCATGGACAACAATCTCTGTTTTGTATCAGTTAACACGTTTTAACTTTGTCATTATTTATATACCTTAACTTCCTCTGTGATTTATATTTAAGTAAAACTCATTTAACTAAGATCTTCTACGTAGGAACGTCTTTTAATATATTAGTGTAGATGAGTTGAAGTAAATGCACTTTTTCTCAGGGAGCACAATTAAAAGGCTAACAACAACCAAACATTAGTATTTTCCGTTTAATTTTTTTTTACTGTTACATTAATGATATAATTCTATATTTTTGTATTATACGTAGTATTTGAATTTGTAAATAACTTTCGTATGCTTATTTTATTGCATTCTTGTTTTAGATGTAAAATTATGTTAGAAATTATTGCCCCCGAAAAGAAAACTTTCAAGATCCGCCGCTGCTCACAAGTGGGCTACAATAGGTTTCAACACTTTCTGAATATCAATTGATTGTATTATTTTGTCTATTAATGATTGAATATATTTATGCTCGAAATTATGCATTATCAAACATGTCTACAATACGTACCAACTACTACCTCCAGTTCATATTATATACAACTTTGAATTTTTTTTATATATCACAAAGATTACATCAAACTTGCATATAATACAAACCGGAGATAGTAATAGAAAACAAATGTATGTAGCATGTATAATATATGCCATATCACTATTTTAAATCGTGTGCATACATTATTTACTATTTAGTATAGAAAAGACTAATAATTTTAGTAAATATCAATATTCTTAATTTTTTTTTACATACAATGATACAATAAACAAATGATGAAGATAATAGGATCATCATTTATATATTAGTTGCCATGAGACTGGAGTCCTTATTGTTCCAAGGTTAACTATTGATTATCGATTATGATATATTCGATTAATCTAAAAATCTCTATACATAGGTGAACAATGTTGGGACTTGCATATCAAAACGAACAGAGGAGTGCACAGCCGAAGATTATGCAACAACGATGAGCACCAACCTTGAATCTGGCTACCATTTTAGCCAACTAGCCTACCCTCTTCTTAAAAATTCGGGTTCCGGGAACATCATTTTCATGTCTTCTGTTGCTGGTGTTGTGTCCATCGATGGTGCCTCTCTTTACGGAACAACAAAAGGTATGAATCAATTTTTATATCCAACTTCTTATGACAATCAAGATAAACTATTATTACCTCTTGATTGTAAGGTAGTTGCAAGTTTATTAGTAATTTGCAATAAGTCATCCTACTTGCATTCTACAAATTAAACGCTCCCATGCTTTAGGAAGTCTTTAGGGCTTGTGGAAAGATACACTCGATTGGTTAGGTCATGTTTAGGTGATGATTCTATTAAATACATCTCCCGTTTTTTTTAGTTGACACCATTTGATTTTTGCAACATTCACAATCTACACTTTGACTATCTTTTGTGATTTATAGCTACAATTAAACATAGTCATGTGGGATCTTGTTTGAATCGTCTCAATGTATATTTTATTAATATCCACTTTTTAAAATTTTACAATATCGGAAATTAGAGATATTAATCGTTAAAATAGTGCGTTGACAAGCGTGATATATAGTAGAAAGGTGTCAACTAAAAAAACGGGACAATGCGTGATAAATCATTGATCAATTCAGGTTGTTTCGGGTATAGTAAAAACAATATGGTCCAGACTAAGACCTTTAGTAGTGGGATGAAGATTGAGATTGGTCCAATTGCAATTAGGTCGAGAATACCTACATAAGAGTACATGTTACTGGCCTCGTGGGTGTATCCAAGGAAACTTCCTCGATGCCTAAGTAAAGGTAAGGAGAAGAACTCTAAGCGTACCTCAACCCTCACGGTTTTTTTTGGTCCGTTACTTGCGGATCAGACACTTTGAGAGTAAGGGGGGAAGGGTAAGGGATCCCCACCCTCAAAGTGTCTCTAGTAGAGATTGAATCCTCAACCTTACGGTTGGAAGGTGCAATCCTTATCACTAGACAAAGCTTAGCTTGGTGATGCCTAAGTAAATATGTGTAGCGAATACTAGACATAGTATTGAATGCTAGTGCAAGTACGATAAATGCTAATCAATCCAAACTTGATCTAATAGAAAGGAGAGTTCCTTCCAACCATAAGGTTGGAGGTTCAATCCTCACTGGTGACAATTTGGAGGAGTGGGATTCTCTTACCTTTCCCCCACTATTCGCAATTATGTAGCCTGCTAATTCGGGTTAGGTTTACCCGTAAAGAATTCTAACTCGGTAGGACCCTTCATCTTACCAGCAAAAAAAAATACAATGTAAATTTTGTAAATACCTTGTTAAGGTGTTAATTTGGCTATATATATATTAAATATATATATATTCCCATGACATAAAAAGTAATATGGACCTAAAGAGCACATGGGCTGGCGCTTGGTGAGCTTTGGACGTTTTTGTATAGAAAAGTTTCATAATTTGGCTTATTTAATGAGAGGCCCAAAATTGAAATCCATTTTGGTTCCCAAACACGGGTGATGTCATATTTGAGTAAAGTCCATAGATTATTATTTATTGAGTTGTTACTAGACTGGCTTAGATTTTTTGTCGGCCTTCTTACACAAATGTAGTGGTAAACAGGTAACAGAACGTATAACTTGTAATTTTCAGGGTTATTATTCTTGCTTAATCTTTTTCACTCTAATATATGATCTTCTTAAGATTTTGAAGATAATCAATAAATTAATACTAAAAAAGACCTCTAGAGTGACATGTCTCACATCATGGTTCTGTTTTTTCCTTTAAAACTCCCCCTCTCTTTTAGCAAAAAATATTTTATTTTAGGAATATTTGTATAATACAACTATAATAATATTATTCCAAATTTTATATATTATCTCTTTTTAAAATGTATTCCTTTTTATTTCGTGTTCTAAATTTTTCCTTACACATTTAGCTAATATATAATTCTAACTCTTTTATAATTATCTTTTATACGGGGTATTATTGAATATTACCAAAAAAAGTTATCATATATAAAATTGATTTATAAAATTGATATTAAAGAAATTAGTTTTTTAAACATCACTTTAATACTTTTTTCAAATACCTCTAATATTTTGTTCCTTAATAAGACTAATGGGTATTAGATATGACTATAAAATAAATGTTGTGTCTGACAACTATATCATATGTCTAACTAGATTAATTCTCGTACAACGCACGATTGTTACTAAATTTTATGGAGTATATTATAACAAAGTTGCATTACAAATTCAACAATAATGGTACACCATTATTTTTATACTTATACCAATGTCAAGGTTATGCCTGTGGGATTTTATATTAATAAAATAAATACCTAGTTTGATGCGCTATTTATTATTACTACTTTTAAGTGTAAAAAATAAAGGTATACATGTACATATATATGTTACCACAATCAAATTTTTTTTTTTATTGAAATAAACTTTATTATAATAGTAAAGTTGAAACAAAAGAAAAAAAAAATGATAATAATACAGGAATAATTTTAGATAAAAGTATCGATTCAATATTTACTAATCTTTGTTCATTTTTGTAAAGACAAAATATAAATATTTGAAAGATATGTAAATATATTCCAGTTGAGTGTATATGAAAAAGATTTTATTGTCCAATTGGAAAGAATATTTTATATGTTCTAAATTGTTTTCTTCAAATTTTGCAAAAAAAAAAAAAAAAAAAAAAAAAAAAATGAGGGAAAATTTTTAATCATAAAATGACATGTGTCATTCCTAGTTTCACTTTTAATACTACTTTCATTACTTTTTTAGTTGCAACAAAGGGGTATTATTTGTGAGATATAAAAAGATTCCTTTGTTGCAACTAAAAAGAAACGGAGGTGGTATAAAAATTATTGATTTGAATATATTTGAAGATTTAATGTAGAAAAATATGTTAGCGATATATGGAATAATGTTTTGGTGATATTTTTAGATATCTGCTATATATAAATGACGTGAATCTTTTTTATTATTTGAAAAAAAATATGGTGTTCAAATAGGAATGTTTAATTATAATAATATGGTAATTATTATTCGATGAATAGAAAAAGAAAAAAAAAATTAGATACGTGGTTTTGGAAGGAAAACACATAACCAGGAAATGACACGTGTCATTCATGGTGCCTGTTTTAGTAGTATGTTATTGATTCGAAAATGTTAAATATCAATCAATTTTTTATTATTATGTAAAAAATTAATATCTTAGTAAATACAAAAAAAAAATTATTATCTTTTGCCGAATCACTTGATTGAAATAATAAATTTATCACGTTTGACATTCATAAATAAGCTGCATACTAAAACACACGTCGGACATAGTGACAAGTGACATTGTATCTTTTTATTTTAGATAAATAGCTATCATCTACAAATAATTAAAATTTTAAGGCAATACACAAATTAAACAATGATCAAACTACAATTATTGGATAGCTTCAAACATATTTTTATATAATAACAAAGGGCAACAATATCATGTAGAGCATTAATCCATAAACAAAAAATGCACGTAGTAATAATATAGGTTAGTGTTGCCTATGGATTGTTATTGCACTACAAGAAAACAGCTAAATTTCGACGGAAATTTTCCGTTGAAAAACCCATTTCCGACGGAATTTTCGTCGGAAAAGATTTTGTAGGAAAAACGACCTATTCCGTCGGATACACTTTTCTGAAGAAATTCGAGGCGTTGAAAGACATTTTCCGGCCCGAAAAAAGTGCGTCAGAAATTGCCGATGAATAGTTATCCGCCGGAAATTTTCGACAAAAATTCCGTCAGAAAAGTAAATACAAAAAAAAAAAAAACAAGCCCCACCACCACCCGTACCTCTCCCCTCCTAAGCCACCTTCTAAATTCACCCCACCACCACCGCAATTCACCCCACCATCACCGAAACCCCTGACTTACAATGACCCACCACCACCACAACCCACAAACAACCCAGATCCTAACCCAAACCCTAACCCTGAACCACCCACCTGACCGAACCCTAACCAAAACCCCGGCCACCAAAACCAAACCCAGTTTCACCCACCAAACCAACACCAAAACCCTAACCCAAACCCTGACCGTACCTACACCTAAACCCACCCACCTATAATCATCACCACGAACGGCTAAACCAACCACCACAGCCCAAAAATTAAATAAAAAACTCAAAAACAAAAATTAAAAACATTAAAACATACCTTAAAAATTGAATTAGCTTCGAATTTCACCTCCAACTTGGTTTAATAAGGCCAAATTCGACCATGAAAACTCTAAATCTAGCATTTTCATGGTCGAATTTGACTTTAAAAACCATTAATTTGTTTTAAACCATCACCATTATACGCTTTAAACCACCACCAGAGAAAGAGGGGCGTGAGAAAAACCAGAGAAGAGGAGAGGGGCATGAGAAAAAATCAGAGAAGGGAAGAGAATAGGAAAGCTTTCCGACGGAAAAAATCCGTCGAAAACATCGGAAATTCCGTCGGAAACTAGTCTTCTGACAGAATTCCGTCGGAATCAGTCTGTCGCAAAACCATTCGTAGGAAATTCGACCTTTTTCCGATGGAATTTTCGTCAGAAGACTAGTTTCCGACGGATATAATTCTGTCGGCGCTCTTTTTTACTTTAATTGAAATTCCGTCCCAATATTCCGACGGAAATTTCCGTCGGAGTTGGAGAGGTTTCCGTTGGAAAAATCAATTAAAAAAAATAAATAAAAAACCCAGCCCCTCCCCAACCACCCTAACCCACCCTGTCCAGCCACCACTTCCCCACCTAACCAACCCCCTAACCGACCCACACCCACCACCACGCCTAACCACCTCCAACCCACCCACACCCACACCCACGCCTAACCACCTCCAACCCACCCACACCCACACCACGCCTAAACACCTCCAACCCACCCACACCCACACCACGCCTCGCCTAACCCTACACCACCCAACCACCTCCACCTAACCCAAACCCACCAAACCCAGACCCAGACCCACCAAACCAAACCAAACCCAGACCCACCTATAACCCACACCCCACGGACCCCACCCCATCCAAACCTCCCACTTCCACCTGTCCAAACTAAACCTCCCCCACCCACTTGACCGGACCCCCACCCTACCCCACCTTGTCTAGCCACTACCAACATCCCAACCCAAATTGAAAAATAACAAAAACCAATTCGTAAAAAACAAATCGAAAAAAAAAAATTCATAACACCCAAATCGTGCAATAGAGATCCGAAAAAAATACAAAAAAAAAAAAAATCAAACAAAAGAAATATATATACATTTATCTTCTGAAATTAATAGAGATCCGAAAAAAATTAAAAAAAAAATCCTAGATCTACAATGTGTCGTCGTTAGGTTGGTGTCGTTGCTGCTGGTATCGTTGTTGGTGTCGTTGCTGTGGTGGTGGTGGTGTTGCGTCACCGGTTTTTGTGGTGGTCGAAGAAGACAAAGGGGACGAAGAAGGACGAAGGGGACGAAGAAGAACAGAGAGGACGAAGAAGGATAAGGAAGGAGAAAGAGAAGGAAGGAGAAGAGAGAGAAAGAGAGAGCGGAATGGAGGAGTACAAAGATCAGAAGAGAAGAGGAGAGGAAAGAAGAGAGGAGAGAGAGAGAGAGAGAAGAGAAATGATAGGGGGAGGGGGGAACCGGGTTTTTTTTTATTATTTAATTATATTCCGACCGATGTTAGACGGAAATGGAATCCGTCGGAAATTTTGTACTTTCAGATGAATTAGAATCGTTCCGTCGGAAATTGATTGTTTTCTAGTAGTGTTGCCTTTGATGATCTGAATAGTATTTATTTCCATTGAAATTATTTTATTGGATATAAAGTTGATAGATTATTTGTAAGTTATATATTTACATGAATATTGTGCTAATAGTTTTACGGTAAATTTTAGTCTGTTGTTTGATTAATATTTTGATGTTTATTAAAAGACATTTATAAATAAGTCTTTAGTCATATAGTCACTAGATTATATAGTTTTATTGGGAATAATATGCCTCTTTAATATAATATAATGTATACTACTTTTAAATATTTTTAACACAACTAATCAAATTTTTTTTTTTTTCTCAATAGTAGTTTTAATAATTTTTGCCTTATTTTTTTTATCTTTCTATATGCATTGCATTTATTTATTCCACATGAATTGACTCATTTTTATATTATATCACAATTCATCATGGAAAAAGATTATTACTACCATGCATTGCACGGGCACTAATCTAATTGTATGTTATATATGTCTTCAATTCTTTTTCCTTTTTATTTGACTAAAGTTACATCACTATGTTGTATTTTCTTGCCAGGAGCAATGAATCAACTAGCAAAGAACTTGGCGTGCGAGTGGGGAAAGGATAACATTAGGGTTAATTCTGTTGCACCTTGGTTCATTCGAACCCCTCTTACTAACCGGGTAATAAATTAAATCATTATTAATGACATAATGGGCCCCACTTAACAGAATCCTAATGGATTCTATTAAGTGGTAGTGAAAAACTACATTTTATAACATTTGGAGGTAGCAAAATAAAATAAAATTTTAGATAGGTAGCAAAAGTCAAAGCAGGGTGTTTTGGTGGTAGCAAAACTCAAAATATCCAGAAAAATACTCTACGAATTACAAAGCTATACATGTCACACTTAGCCTATTAAACAGGTTATTAACCAGTTACGTCCTATTTCTGGAAAATGTATGTAAAAGGTTTTTTTATTGAGAAACAATCAAAAGGTTGTTATATTTTTAGAAGACCGGACAAAGATCGTATCATATCTGACAGTTTTTCCTAATGGTTTTGCCTTCCATTCCCCACATTTCACTTTCTTAAAATTTTTTCTTTTACCCTTTCCAAACCAAATGCCGCTTTTACCAAACATGCATTACTTTGCCTTAGAAAGGAACAAAAAAAAAAAAAGACATGTCTCGCATTGCTTCATAACCTATATATATAGGCAACATAATAAATTTTTATATTGGAAAGGTACACCACGCAAAATTATTGTATATGTACGTAATTGTTGTGTCTTGTTGTATCCTAGCTTGTTAACGTTATATATTCTTGTATGTTTGTAATTGTTGACAGGCCGTAGATAACATGGAAGGATTTTTAGAAACTGTGGAAAGGATAACTCCATTAGGAAGGGTAGGAGAACCAGAAGAGGTGTCTTCCGTGGTAGCCTTTCTTTGCATGCCTGTCGCATCCTACATCACTGGACAAACTATTTGCATTGACGGGGGTTTTACTGTTAAGGGCTTCTAAACCTCAATCAATTTCTTTTTTTCATTAAAGTGTATGTTTACGTCAACGCTAATACTTTCGTCATTATCATATATAATAGGTTTGGTTTGGTTGGTTGGTTTAGCCTGGTGTGATCTCTTGTTATTGACAAATTTTGACCATATCATTTTTACACTAATGTAAAAATCCATCATCAAGTGCACTCTTGTTACATTCATATTAATATTCATTTTCAAAATATTTAATTGTTGATAAATTTTTTTACTGGTATATGGTGTATAAAAGTTGAGATATTTTAATAAGTAAACAAAAATAAGAAGTTTGGGTTTAATTTGGTTTGAATCTTTATGTTGTAGGATGATTTGATCATATTGATCTAACTAAAAAATATAGGGCATTTAATTTTGAAATAATGGGATGATCCATAGTCCGTGAATTGGGAGTAATACCTTATGAAATAAGGTAAGAGAACAAACATATATATAATCTATCCTGAGCTTATTTGATCTTTTATTCTCTTGAATTAGTTGAATTCACTTACCATTTACCGCGTTTCCACAATCAAACAACATTTGCAAATAATTATTAAGAGATCTTAAAAACCAACACAAGTATGTAAACACCTTAGAACTAATAATATCGCAGATTTGATCAACAATCACCTTAATTAAAATACCTCAGCTAAAACAATATAATATGTGGATTAGCATTAATTCGGATTGAAATCCACTAATGCATAATCGTTTGGGTGAAAAGTATTCAATTGGTTCTTTAGATACTTGTGGAGGTAGTAATTATTGAAAGCAGTTAAAAAAAATTTAGGGCTTACCACTAATAAGAACATTAGTGAAAGCATAAGCCCCCACAGAGATTCACAGTTGCGACCAAGAAAAAAAAAAAAAAAAAAAAAAAGAGATGAAAGTGTAGGAAAGTAAAAGGGAGAAGAGTGAAGGTAATCCTTCAAAGAGATAGAAAAAAAATCCTTGAGGGAGACAAAAAATCATCCCAAGGGAGAAACCCTAGAGAAAACGATTATTGAATTTGATGTTTAAATCTTCTATCACATCAATTGTATTTTTGTAAGGTTTTTTTTTTTTTTTTTTTTTTTTTTTTTTTTTTTTTTTTTTTTTTTTTTTTTTTTGGAACCTTGCAAGGCTCTATTTAGCCACTCATGTCATGTACTCTATCTAAAATTAAGTTGATTAAATGTTGAAATTTTAAAAAACATTAATTTCTTAATTTGACATTTAACTACTAACTTCATATATTATTGTTTCTTTTTCTACTCCATATTAATTCTTTTTTCTTTTTGAACAAACTCAAAGTATTACTTTTACATGTGCTAAAATTTCAAATACAAATTAATTTTTGTAAACTTACATATAACTCACAAAAAGATGGGTAAAAAGATGAGTAATGAATAGTGTAAAAGTCAAAACGAGTCAACTAAAAAAGAATAGGAAAATTATATTTATTGATATGAATTACTGTATATTTCTACGTATTGCCTTGCTCAAAGTTCCATATTGGTTATGTGCCTGTAGACCTGGCAAACGAGTAGTTCAAGTCTGGTAAATTTCGGCTCAACAAATAATCGGGTCAAGCTCGATTCTGGTCAATCCAGGTTCGAGTCAAATTCGGGTCTACAGATAATTAGGTTAGGTCGGGTATCAAGTCAACACTTCAAGTTGAGTTTGGGTTGGGTCGTTTTGGGTTGGGTCAATTTTCAGGTGCAATTGTTGGGTCAAGTTCAGGTCTAACAGTTCAGGTCAGGTTAATTGCCAGCTCCATTTTAGTTTTTAACTAGACATCACGACAACATTTATGTCAATGCGGTAATTAAGCCCTACATCAATTAGGTCATTTTGGGTATCAATTATTTTTGATTTGGGTCATTTTGAGTTTAAGGTAATTATTGTTCGAGTCACTTCGGGTACGAGGTCTGTTCGGGTCAATCAATTCGGGTTAAAACAGGGTCGGGTCACTTCGGATATCGAGTCAACTTCAGGTCGGATCACTCGGGTATCGGGTCAATTTTGGTTCGGGTACAATAAGGTCGAGTCAACTTCGGGTATCGGATCAAGTTCAGGTCAACTCCACTTCGGGTATCTGGTATCGGGTCAACTCCACTTCGGGTATTGGGTATCAAGTATGTGTCGGATTGGGTAAGTTTTGGGATCGAGTCACGAGTCGGGTTAGGATTACCAGATCTATGTGCTGGTGTAACCGAAACACATGCAGTAAAAAGAATACTCCATAAGTTTGTATGTATAATTTCATTTAAGTAAAAATCAAGTGAATCAAACAAGTATTATAGTCGCGAAAAAAAAAAAACCACATCGAAAAAAGAAAGAAATTGTTACCGGCGGGCGAACCCTGGACCTCCGCTCCAACTCTCCAAGGCCTCCAACACAACCCTAACCTGTCCTTCTCTCTCTTCTTCTCTCTCTTTCATCCTCCATAGTCGTGGTCTTCCAATGACCACGTCGCCAGAGGAGTCCGAACCCTTCTTTTTCTTCCCCAAAGTTACCCTCTTCTTCATTTACTGATCATATAAACTTGCACAAAACTTGGGAAAATCTTCTTTCATGGCTGACATTTTGTGGGTTTATCCATCTTCAACCGATGACTAAAATGGTAAAGCTTTTCCAAACCCCATCTCCATTTCATCTTCTTAAGATTTATTCTGTATTGGGTTCTTTTCATTTCCGTAGATTTTCATCAAAATCTGGTGTTTCTTCTATCAAATCCGCTCTTTCTTCGCTGCAAATTTCTAATGATACTTTAGTTTCTAGAGTTTGTGAAATTTTGTCTGATAATCAATGGTTACGTAGCTCCGAATTGATTCGATTGAGCCCCAAATTAACGCCCCGTCTTGTGGAAAGAATTATTCATACCCATTTGGATACTGGATCACTTTTACAGTTCTTTTATTGGGTTTCTAAGAGACCCTCTTATGAACATGATTTTAGTTGCTATTTTTCTATGTTAGATAGGCTTATTGTGGATCATCGTCGCCACGACGATGCCCAACATTTGATAGTTTTGAGTATTAGAGCTTGTAAGAATGTGGAGGAGCTGAAATGTGTTATGGATTTTTTGGTTGATATCAGGAAGAGGGGTTTTAAGATTAGTATGTATAGTTATAATACCTTATTGATTGCATTGGGTAAGTTTGACATGGTCGGAGCTGCCTATAATGTGTATATGGAGATGTTATCGGATGGAATTAGCCCTAGTCTTTTCACATTGAATACTTTGATCAATATGTTCTGTAAGAAGGGAAAGGTCGAGGAAGGCGAGCTTTTTTTAAGTAGGATTTATCAGTATGGTATGTGTCCGGATGTTTTTACGTATACCTCGTTGATTCTTGGGCATTGTAGAAACAATAATGTAGGTAAGGCCTTTGGGGTGTTTAATTGGATGTTGAAGAAGGGTTGTCAACCTGACTCGGTGACGTATAACACTCTCATCAATGGGCTCTGTGATGAGGGTAAGTTGGATGAGGGTTTGAAGTTGATTAAGGAAATGGTTGAGAAAGGAATTGAACCTACGGTTCATACTTTCACTGTTCCAATTGTCAAGCTGTGTGAGTGTGGGCAGGCAGAGAAAGCTTCCAGACTTTTGGGCGCAATGACGAAAAGAGGCTGTCAACCTAATGTTCATACATATACAGCTCTTATTAGTGGGTTTTCTCATGTAGGGAGTCTGGAGGTTGCTCTTGGGTTATACAACAAAATGATGAAAGTTGGTGTGGCTCCAGATACTACTATCTGTAATGCATTGATTCATGAATTGTGTGTGGGAGGAAGGGTTGAACAAGGTTTGAAGATTTTTGATTGGATGAAAGCGCATGGCTTTCATCCTAATGTTCATTCATACACAGCTCTTATTTTTGGGCTGTCACGTGCAAGGAATCTGGAGGTGGCTGTTGTATTATGCAACAAAATGATGAAAGATGCTGTGGCTCCAAGTATTACTGCCTGTAACGCATTGATCCATGAATTTTGTGATGGTGGAAGGATTGAACAAGCATTGAGAATTTTTGACTGGATGGAAGCCCATGGCTCTCTGCGGAATTCTCGTACCTACAATGAAATAATACGGGGGTTGTGTTTGAGAGGTGCTTTGCAAGAAGCTATGGTGCTTTTTGGTGATATGACTAGGGCTGGTCCTTCTCCTACTGTGGCAACATACAACATACTGATTTATGGTTACATATTGCAAAACAAGCTGGACCATGCTGTGAGATTATTTGATTTGATGAGGGAGAGTGGATGTGACCCTGATGAATACACTTACACTGAAATGATGCTTGGGTTCTGCAAAGGTGGGAAGTTGGAGCTAGCCTCTTCTCTCTTCCATGAAATGATTGGACGAGGTTTGTGCCCAAATGAATATACCTTTACCATTCTCATCGATGGTCATTGCAAGGCAGGACACATAGATGGAGCACAAGAGTTACTTGGTAAGATGGAGGAGTTTGGTTGCTCTCCTACTACTGAGACCTTCAATACCATTATAAGTGGATTAGCAAAAGAAAATAGATTTGCAGAGGCAGAGAATTTATGCAGTAGGTTGTCTGACTATGGATTGTTGCCTAATGTTGTCACCTACACATCATTGATTGATGGTCTTTGTCAACATGGTGGGACAAATCTTGCTTTCAAGGTGCTTCATGAGATGGAAAAGAATAACTGCTATCCGAACTTGCATACTTATAGTGTACTCATTCATGGGTTGTGCCAAGAAGGAAAAGTTAATTGTGCAGAAGGTTTGTTCAATGAAATGCAAACTAAAGGGATATCCCCTGATGTGGTGGCATTTACTTCTCTTATTGATGGTTTTGTTATGATTGGTAGGCTAGATCATGCCTTTTTTCTACTCCGTAAGATGTTGGAGTTGTTCATCCAACCTAATTACCGTACTTTCAGAGTGTTGCTGAAAGGTTTGCAGAAAGAATCTCATTTGATGGTGAACAAGGTTGCAGTTCAGAATGATGTTTCCTATAGTTTCCCTTCTGATGCTAATGACATTGGATCTGAATTGATCAGCCAACTATTTGTCAAACTCTCAGAAATTGATGGTGAACCCACAGTTAGCACATATAGTACCCTAATCGCTGGTTTATTCAGAGAAGGCAAATACATCGAAGCAGAACTTTTGATAAAGAATATGCAAGAGAAAGAATTGCCTCTGAATAATGACATCTATAATGTGCTAATACTAATTCATTGTAAAAGATCAAGAGTGGAGCCTGCTCTGGATATCATAAAAACATTGTCCAGTAGTGAGTTTGAGTCTCCATTATCTACTTATGGCATGATTATATGTTCGTTGTGCAAGTTGAATAAGGTGGATGAAGCTGTATCGCTGTTTCAGAACATTCTTGAGAAAAATTGGAATTCTGATGAGGTTGTTTGGAGTGTGCTGGTTGATGGATTACTAAAAGAAGGACTAGTGGTTCCATGTGTGAAGCTCCTTCAAATAATTCAGTCCAGTAAACACACTGTCAGTCTGTACACTTGCAAGTTTGTGGCTGAAGAAATGTCAAAAGTGGATAGATCTTTTAAAACTAATCTGCTTGTTGACAGAGTGATAGGCAGTAGGGATAGTTTGCCTGGTTAAGCTTTTGCATGTTCATTGAGCATGGACGTGTGCTTAATGAAATAACTTGGTCTTTTGCAAGTTATTGAGACGGGGATGGCTGTATTTCGTCTAGTTCTCACCTTTCCAGCTCTCCTTTCCAGACAAGGTGAGTATAGAAACTTCTAGATTTGCTCGGTTTTGTGTATATTTTTGTGACAGTTATTTTATTACTGCCCATTTGAACTGTCTTCAGTAAACCGTTTGCTGATAATTTTTTTGAATCTGATGCTATAACTATTTAATCAAAATGGCAGGACTCAACTTTTTTCCTGTCAGAGGTTGGTCACTCATGGCCCTTGGCATTATGCAGCCAAAGGTCCATAATGAACTTTGGTTAAGTCTTTCTCCATATATGGTTGGCTCAAGGAGGACATAATTATTCTTTGCAATTTACTTGTGAAAGCATGTTCCACATTTTTGTTGATGGGCGTGGAAACTGAAGTAAATTCAATAGCTGTCTTTGAGGGCATCTCTTGTGACCTTGGAATTCAGAGAAGCAGCATATAAAAGGCTAACAGGTGCTTCTGTTCAGTTGGCTAAATCATCGGGACTGTGGCTCTGTGAAGGTTAGTCCTCTATACAAAATATCAGATACATGAAAACCTTCAAGACTTGCTTAAACATATAATTTATCAGGCAGTAAAGGAGATATATATAGATAAAATCTTCAAGTCTTGCACAGTCTTGAAGTGAATTTTGTTCTTTTGATTTTATTGTGATGGTGTTAATACTTAGTATGCCATTTAGCTGGAAGGGTGAATGGGTGATGCTGAACTTCTGACTTATGGATTCTCATAGTAGACATTGATGCCAAGGCATCGGTAGTTGCAAAGCACGTGTAGGATTCCTGAGAGAAAGAAACAGTAGGAAGAACAGAAAACTTGCACTCTAATACATTGATATAACAAAAAACTACCATATATGATTCCTTCTTTATCACAACGTAGTCATACTTAAATGGGTGTAAGTGAATGGTTCACTTGAACTCCTGCACAAATTGCTCATTACCTGCTTATATCATCTTTCTTGAATAAATTAGTCAGTTACATTTAGGGTTTTTAACATGACACTTCAAACATGTGTATATTATGGTGCTGGTCTAGTTGGCTCCTGCTGTTTTGTTTGATGATATTTGTATTTAACGTGCTAGTTTGGACTGTTTTTCACAAGATTTTAATGTGCTAATAGACAATACTCGCTATTGGTGGATGACCAATATGTCTGCAATTGCCATGGAAAGGATGTTGCAGTCTACTAGTTTAGGGAGGTCTATATGGGCCTACTGGTGTTGTTGCTGATAGCTAGCTAGTTCTGTTATGGTAAGGGTAATGAGCGAGCTTGAGGAGAAGAGAGAGAAGGGGTTACTGACATTGCAGTTGTGAAACTGATTGTTGAAGTTAAGTTTCACCATTTATTTGGAGGACAGGGTGATGATTTCTGAAGTTTAAACCTGACAAATTCATTTCAGTGTTCCCAAAAAAAAAGTATAATAATTTCAGTGGCTTTTTTTGATTATCGGATGTGATTTGATATCCAGAATTCTGATCTCCTATCCTTGGTCTTTTTCTTGCTTTTATTTGCAACACCTTCATTAATTATGATCCTGTCAACCATGACCTGTGGCTCTGTGGGCTAAGTTTATTATTGGACATTTGATTTAGATGCTTTCCTCAGTTTGTTTTAAATTTTGCTTTTCATCAGAACGTCCTGATGATATTTAATAGTTAAAAATAGCTAAGAGAATTTGTCCTTGCCTTTTTCTGTATGCATGATTAAGTAATTTATGCAAGAATAATGATTTTTGGTGCTACCTTATTGCAGGCTCAAGCGATGTTGCGGGATGTAACAATTGCATTTTCCAAAACTTGAAGCAAGTGTACAGACGTATTTTGTGATGTGACACTGAGTTGTCCCTTTATAATGTATACGTAACCAGATAAGTATAATACACTACATTTTGTTATAGGTGACCCAATATTCATTGATCTAGTTTCATTCATAATTTTTTTACAGAAAGCAATAAAAATAGAGTATCCAATTTTGCTGACAGAACTTTGTGTATACTTGTATGCACTGTCAGAAAAACTACTTAGTCGGTTTTCTCAAGTCCATGTTGGGTTGCAAGAACATTGCCCAAACGAGTTATGGATTGGATTAATTTTGACAAAGAACATGACTATAACTGTGTTTGAAAACATTGTTGGATTGCTTCTGTTCTAAATAATCACAGCTAGTTTCATGCAAGGTCATAAATCGAGGATATGTAACTGTGTAATTTCTCATGGAACATTCTTCTGTAAATGACCATGGTAATGGATCTCCAGTACTAAATATAGTGTTTCTCTGCATATAATTTCAATACGTTACCAGTAATTACCACCAAAGGGTATGGTATGAGTCATAATGAGTGGCTGTGAAAAACAATAAAGAAATATGGTATTGGAAATTCATTCTCATGGATGTTTACGTGGGCTTTTGTACAAAAGTTACATAACTTTGTATTATAGTGTTTGATTCAATCTTGATTTGTTATAATGCATCCTCTTAATAAAAATACATCTACTCTGAATTGTTTTTCCTGTCTAGACTTTGATTCAGTTTTGTACAAAACTATGAAAGGTGCATTGTGACAAAAAATTCAGCAGACTGCAGTCTTTCTTCTAACATTACAGGCCTAAAGGATCCAGTAGATTTTACACTATGCAGTCGGATACATTATGCTATATTGATCTAATCTATATTCTGGTGTTTTAATTAAAGTTTAAGTTTTCTCCCCTGAAGTAGTAACTTAATAGTGAAGGCAACATTTGCTTAGGTCCCAAGCTCCCAACATAGATTGCTGCAGTTTTACCCTGTTTTTGTTATGGATGCAAGAAATACATCATGCTCAAGGCAAATAGCGCGAATTACTGATTGAATCATGCAAGACAAAAATGACGTGAATACTGCAATGGGCGCTGGAAGATTTAGATTGGCCAGAGTTTTCAACATTGTACTATTATTATGGTTCACCAAAAGTTATTGCATAATGTTGCAAATACCTGTTGTACTAGTCTGAATACTTTTACTACTTTGTTGTAACAGAGGAATAAAATAGTTATGTTAATTAAAATCATACCTAACTCAAAGAAAAATGTTAGTCAATGTTTTAACAATCAATCTATCATCTATATTGATAAATAGTTGTCAATTCCTAATCATTACATATAACTATATTAGTACAATCAATTATCAAATAAACTTCCCACAAATTTTTTTATTTTTTTGAAACAAAACTTCCCACAAATATAGTACAAGAGCCTAAAAAATGTAGTCAATACCATAAAATTGTAGCACCCAAAATTTTCCCTCAGGTCAATCTACTAATTGTCATTTGAAGTGCATTATTGACAGCTATAGTGAATGCATCTTCAAATTTCTCCAACTTAGCATTAGCATTTGCATAAACTAATCTAGGCATCAATTCATTGATAATATTTTTCCTCATCTCTTGCCTTTGTTTAAGAGGTATGTTCACAAGCTTCTCCACCACATTCACCTTCGACGCTTTCACTTCTTCTTGGTCTATAAACACCGAATACTTGTTGTGATCTTCAGGTAAATGCCATGGATATTGGTAATGCGCGGTAAAAGGATCAAAGACAACCGGAATGCAGCCAGCAATAAGCGAATCAAATACCGACTTTCTTGTAGGACTATCCCCATCAGGCTGAAGGCAAAACTCTGACTCCATGAAGAGTTTTACAACAGGTGCAGATTCAACACATAACTTTTCTCCACAATTGAGAAATTTGCACACTCCAAGGGCAGATGTGCATTGTTCGATGAGACTCGACCTTATGCTCGTTGGATCCTTGCGAGGAGCCCCTGCAAAGCTAACTAAGTATTTTCGCGGTACCTGCCTAATCTTCTCTTGCCATGCTACTATCTCTTTGTCCGATCTCGGGTGGAGGTAAGTCGGGTAAGGGACACCCACATCATTCATATGCCATGGATGTCGTTCAATTATTAGCTTGATTGGGTTTTGGAGCTCGTCGAGCTCCAACAAGGGTGTCCCCCAATGTAGGTACTCTGATCTTCGAAGATCCCAAGAGTTTTTCCCTAAGACAAACACATGATCCAACCCAAAATGTCTCTTCCACATCTTCTGTTGCTTAAGCCATTCAACAATATCCTTAGAGAGTGCATAAAATCGCGCTTGTGCACCTTGACTCTCGTTACTTGGGACTTTCACCGGACTAAAATGAGACCATAACATATCTAATGCACCATAAAATGGCACATAAAAAAGTTTGGCCTCTTCTGCTTTGTCAACTCTACAAGGATGTTTAAGTATACGTTTATGAAATATTGGCTCTAACGAAAATTGGTGAGTATTATACCAGCTGTTCCCTAACTCGAGTATAGGTTCGCCCATTGCATCATTCGCGAAGTATTTACAAAAATCCAACCACGGCATTATCTCATTACACTTGGCTACCAAATCCTTGTTAAATTTCGGAGGCAGATCATACACATATATCCCTCGTCCCTCACAATTATCTGAGGGCGGTCTTGACTTGACAATGTAGGATCGTAGGATTGCTAACTGAGCTTCCACAACCTTCCTAGAATTTGCTCTTTCCATTGCCTTATCCTTGTCAACAAGATCAAGATACGTAAATTGAGAGAATTCGGCCTTGCTAACATTTGTACCTCTTTCAATATATGAAATCGTTGAGGTGTTGTTATAAACAGGGATATCGTAGTTGATAGACTGAGCCCCAGCGGAGAGGCAATAATGACTGCTAAGTTTCCTAGACGTTACACAAACATGTGCAATCGAGCTAGAGATAATGATAGTGGAAGAAGACCACATAAACATGAGAAAAAGGCTTACAAGAAAAACAACAAAAAATTTCTTGACAAATTTGAACAAACATGAGTCAAGTTGGAAACCTCGATCATCAGCCTCATATAATGGTTTTTTCTTAACATTTAAGACTGTCATCAGGGCCGTTTCTGATATTTTAGAAGATATATTATCTACAAATTTTGCGTTAGATGTGCATATGAAAATGGAAAGAAAAGGAAAAGAAATGAACGATTTCTTTCTCCTTTTAGTTGGTTACTTGGTTACATTATTGATTTCTTACTACTTTTTCGGAAAGTTGTGTTTTAAATTTTATTATGAGTCACATATTATAGGATCTAGTTTTTCCCTTTCAATTTATACAATTGATCATCTTCATTTTTAGTAATATATTGAATCTGTATGGAACTACTCAACACCAACGCACAAGCCTATTTTGGTTTACTGAACATATGGCTTATTTTTACTCATTTTTTATTTACATTGTGAGCAAATATTTGTTCAGCTCATTTCAATTAACTCAAATTAGCAAATTTTATTTGCCCATTTTCTTGAAATAAACAATTTCTTAATCCATTTGTAATTTGTACTGTATGAGTAATTAAAGAAATTTTGCAAAATAACACCACTAAAAAATTGAAAAATGGATTATAACACAAAAAAAAAAAAAAAAAAAAAAACACCCACAAAAAATCTCAAAAATTGGATTTCACCACCATTTAACAAATTCTTAGATGGAATTCGTTAGAGGGCCCAAATTGAGCTCAAATATGACAAAAAAAGTAACATAAATGCCTCCTTTTGTGTATTAAGAGGTGTCTTGATTTGCGTGTCGTTATTGTTTTAGCAGTTGAAATCAGGGGCGGAATCGGGGGGGCTGGGGTAGGCCTTGGCCTCCCCCTTGGTTTTTGTTATCTAATAAATGTTGCATTAACTTATTTTAGTTGTAATATAGATGAGTTGGTCTTGGGTGAAAATATAGAGATCTTTTTCTAGCTTCAAGTTCGAACCTTCTCCCTAACATTTTTTTTTTTTTAATTTTTGGTCTCATATTATTTTTATATTTCAATATACTCCATCTTATTAAAAAAATCTGCTTCCGCTACTGGTTGAAATTATTCAGGTTAGGTATCAGGGTTTGTTTTATAGTTCCAAATTAAGTTCAGAATTAGCAAAAAAAATAAAAAATAAATAAATAAAAAACCACACACACACAATGTCTCATTTGGCATGTTAAGATATAACGAGCGCAATTAACACGTAAAACAAGACAATCACATTATTTTATTGCTGATTTTAAGCTCAATTTGATTCCTTAAGAACTAAAATGACCTTAAACCTTACTCAAATAATCTCTACGGCTAAAAAAAATACAACACTCAAATTGAGACATTTCTTCAGACGCAAACAAGACATTTACGTTATATTTTTGCCAGATCTGAACTTAATTTGGACAAAAAAAAAAGGCTAAAATGACCCCAAAACCTTAATAAAAATATTTTCCAACACGTAAATCGAAATATTTTCCAACACGTAAGTCGATAAGAAAACATTAATAAGTGAAGAGTGGGCCCCATTAATTGTGATTGAACCAATATAACGGAATTCGTTAATGATAGGATAACGACAAGGTCATTGTATTGTTATCAATTATACCAAAGGGTTAAAATGTGTAACTTTAAAAAAGAAGGGGCACAACATAGAAAACGCCATAAAAGAGGTTTATAATGTAGAATTTCCCAATAAAAAATAATAAATCTTAATGTATTTTTCTATATAAAACCTCTATATTCTCTCAATCTCTTATAAACCTAAAGGCAAAAGCTTGGTTCTTCGATCCAAAAAATTAACTGAGAGTCGTGATTGTTCATTTGCTATTCAATCGATATATCGGTAATATTTTTTATCCATAGGATTGATATATTGTTTTTGCTCTCGGATAAATATAAAAACAATACTGATATATTAAAAGGCGTTTATAAAAATGTCAATGTGTCACGTATATCCTTTTAAATTGTGTCACGTCACTTCACTTCACAAACACTTCATGACGCCACACCACCTACCCAACATCTCTTCATGCCACATCATCACTGAATTTACCTTAATCGTTACGCCATGTCACCTAGCCAATCCACATTACTTCATATAAAAATATAAGGTTAAGGGGATTCGAAATCCCAACCACTTATAATAAAGTTAGCTATTTAACCATCTTAGCCCATTATCAAGCATGTTATAAATATGAAAAAGAAATGTACATAAGTGTAAACCACATGATTTAATTATTAAAAAAAAAAACACATTCAATAATGTCGATTTCAGATTTCAAAATCCTTTAAAAAAAAATATCTCGTTACTCTCTGTATGTATGTAGGGATGTTAATGGGGTGGGGCGGGGTGGATGTTGGCCTTCCCATCCCCCTTTGCCACCTAAAATTTTCATACCTATCCCCATTCCTATCCCCATTCCCATCCCCATCCCCATCCCCGCGGCAGGTCTTGAATTTATCCTCATCCCTGCCCTGCGGGTACAACTCTAAAACCATCCCGCCCCACCCCCCACTTGGATATCCACCCCCACTTAATCCCCACCTAAGACGTGCCTAATCTCCGCCTCCCAAATACACAATCCTTCATAATTAATAAAGATTGCAAAAAGAAAAAATTATTGTAATATTACACATTTTTTTGTTATAATATAAGTGTATTACAAAGTATTAAAAATTGGATTTGTTAAACATCGCCCACAAATTTCTACATAAAGCCCACAATTATTTTTACTTTGACACTTTTGCCCCTTTTAAATTTTTACCGAAAACGTAGTTCTCTCTCAAAAAATGTGGAGCCGGACTGGATTGCCGAGGGACGTCGAAGAGCCGAGGGACACCAAAGAGTTGTCATCGTCGCCAGAAAGCGAGGTACGTTGCAGTTAGAAGTTACGAAATGGTGGCCGGCGTCTGGCCGGAACGCTAAACCAAAAAAATCCAAAATTCCAGAGAGAAATAAGCACTAACCTTTTAAAATCCACAAAGTATCGCTAAATCTCCAAGGATTTTGCTTCACTCCAGCGTCAATTAGGGTTTTACAGAAGAAGAAGAACATGGGAGAGAGTGAAAAAGATGAACGATCAATTTTTTTGTATTTAATTTGTTGGTTGAGTTTGGAGGGGGAGTGTTAATGAGTGGGGGGAGCATTTTAGTCAAGCCAAGTCCGACCAAAAACGCTGTCAAGTAAACATAATTAATGTTTACTTAAGATTTAGGTTATTATAGTTAATTAGGGAAAAGTTTAAATGCACAGATGATAATGAAAGTTTAATAAAACGTATCATTGATAAAAGTCGAAACATAAAGTGTATCATTCATAATTTTGGAGTATGAGTTATAATAAGTTCAAACGCACCCCTTTATTAGAAACCACGACCAGTCTACAATCAGTCAATCACCTTCTCGGCTACTAGTCTGTTACTACAACTACCATAAATTGATGTATTTAAGTAATTTAACCCTTTCCCAGAAATCGAATCCTGTATACCTACTGCATCTTAGGTGAATTAATGGTTGTCTTATCATTTTCTTCTATTGCTTAACCTTTTGAGTTCTAATTGATTTTTACATTGCCATTTTTCCAGATTAATCCCCTTTTGGCCCATGAATTCAGACGGGTGTTCAGAGACATGGGATTGCAGGTGCAGACAAAAGGGGTTTGCGTGTTTTGTGTTTTCCTCTGATTTTCTGCAAATTTCTGAGTTTTAAGACGAAATGATTGCAGATTAATCTCAATGAAAGCTTACTTATTGTTTATAATGAATTCAAATGCTTGGATTTAAGACGAAATGGTTTTTTCTTTCCTTTTATTTTCTTGAGTATTTGTGCTGATTGCTGTTTTGGTCTACTGGGAGTACTTTACAATTCTTGCCCTTTGTTTGTCTATCATTTTATATTTAAACCAGGAAGCATTTAATCAGAATTGTTTGATCGATTTCCTTAATAGTCTGGTGTCTTATCTCTTATGCCAGAGAACATATTTTGCTGAAGTTGTTGAGGTAATGACATATTTGATACTTTGACAAATGCATATGTCATATCCGAATTTACCTAATATAATACTCTGTATGTATTATGGTTTATTTCTTTTTCCTCCGAGCAGTTTGTAACAATTCCGTTGGTTCAATTGTTGGCTTATTGCTTGCCTTATAACAACATTATGCATTTGTTATTTTTCTGTAAAATTTAGAGAATTCTATTGTTCTTATTTATATATATTCTTTACTTTTATACATTTATTTGATAGTGAGTATTCGGCAGAAGCGCTTTTTTTATTTTAGGAATAAATTGTTAATGTGGTTACTTAATCTTTGACCTTACTTTACATAAATTTTTTAAATAAATATTGTTATGTGGGATCCTGGTAGTTTTGTCTAAATGCAAGTTTTCCAAATATCTACTTTATTTAATGTTTTACTGATACGTAATTAAAGATATTTACAAATAACTTAATTGAAATAAGTTATGGCTTGGTGTGATCTGCATCAGGTCTGGTCTAATGTGATTCGGAACATAAATAACATGTTCTTAAAACAAGGTAAATTTGTGAATCTCTGTGGGAGTTGTTCATTACCAACTGTAATCATGCTGTTTGGCCTCACTGTCTTTGTTCATTAATCAAGTTTTATGCTTATGTATTGGTGTTAGGCTGGTGAATGGTTTTAGAATTATCCGATCCCAAATGAAACAAATTATCAGAAGTCTGCTAGCTCAACACCCGGCTTAATGATTTTGCCTGAATTGAGCTGATTTAGTTACCTGTTTAAATTCAAGCATACAATACTATAAGTTCATTGTTTTTGGATCCATTCATAAGTGTAGCATATGCTTTGAACAAGTCAGCAACAAAGACCACTATTTGTTATTAAAAAGATGGGAAGGACAAAGGTGTGTAGCTGGCTTTATTTATCCATGTAATGCTAGATGTCTACTTAGATAAGTTCTTCAAGTAACTTTATTGATTTGTGTTTGCATTTATATGCGTCTTCTTTGACTCATTCTTCCAAAACTTTGTTGTGGTGAATAATAAACACATCCTTAATTTACACATATTAAATTTCATCTAAGTAATGCTAGATATGTGCTTGGATAAGTGTGTACACATTTAAATTTCATCTATCAGTGTTTGTATTTATAAGCGTCTTATTTGACTTATTCTTTCAGAACTTTGTTGTGGTGAATTATTAGCACTTCCTTAATTTACCAAAAGGCCTATTGGAAATAAATGGAAGTGTAAATAGAGAATCAGGTTCAGGACTTTGTTACCTTTAGCTTCTTTAAGATGTTAGTTTTAGAATTTTAATTTTTTTTAAAAAATATGTCTTCAATAAAATTATGCATACACACCGTTCTTGAAGGTTCCTCCCTGCATTAGTATTGTCAATATAATCATTTGTTATGGAGCGGTTTACCGTTTGGCTCTTATCAAGCACTACCTTTATTTTTCTTAGTTGACACGTATTTCTTTTTAGCAAGTTTATTTTTAGTTGACACGTTTCCTTTTTGTGTAAGTTTTATACTTTGCACTTACTAGTCTACCCCACTTGTTTTATCATTCTGTCTCATTCTTTCTCCTCTCCTTAATATGTGTGCCTAAATTAAACCTGTCAACTAAATAGAAACGGAGGAAGTATATCATTAAGATTAGATCAGGAAAGTCAATTTTTTTCCACCTAGTTAATACTACTGCCGTTCTTTTATGTTCTACTCACTGTGGATACGCTATTTAGAAATTTGCTAAAGAATGTGGGTGAGTGTAAGATAGCGTAAGAGAGAGGATGGTAAAAGGTGGGTTTGTGTAAAAAAAAAGTGAATAAAGTAAGGGATAGAGAGAGTATGGAAAGGTGTAATTATTGTTGGGTTGGATAGGTAAGATGGTAAAGAGAGTATGCCGTAAATAAAATAAAGCAAAGTGGGTAGAACTTAAAAGAACAACCTAAAATTGAAAGTGGGTAGAAGAAAAAAGATCGGAGGGAGTATTTATTAAATTATACTTCCTCTATTTTTTTTTACTTGCAACAATTTGACTTTTACACTATTCACATATCTCACTTTGACTAGCTTTGGTGATTTATCGGTTAGGAAAAATATAGTTATGTGGGATCTTGTTTTACTCGTTTCGATTTATACTTTCATAATATCAAATTTTTATAATTTTTACACATTGGTAATTAAAGATATTAACGATTGAAATAGTGCATTGGCAAGCGTGAAAAGAGAAGTGTTGCAAGTATTAAGAAACAGAGGAAGTATGATGTGATCAATCTGATCATAGTTGTGGTTTTTATATGGTAAGTAATCAATATGCAGGATTCTTTCTGCTAGAAATCATTCATTTCCATTCTGATAAATGAATTGAATAAATACATTCAGTTAATATGGGCTGTATCATTTGGGATTCGATTCACTTTGATATGATTTAAAGGTTTTGGGGGTGTTATACTTAATGTAAATGGAGCCTTGATGGCCTAAAGTCAGAAGGCATAGTGGACTAGGTTTTCAGAAGGCCATGCATCCTCTTTCAATTCCTTCATGTAGTTTCTCTGCCTTGGCTAGGCCACCTATATATGCATAGCCTATCTTCATGTTTTCTGCAGCCATTCTCTCACCTTTTCAAACCTGATTTTGGATTCATCTACATCCCACTCTCCTTTCCTAAAAAAATAAATAAAAATGAGTGATATTCCAGAAGAATTGGTGCTGCAAATTCTGGTGAGGTTGCCTACAAAGTCTCTGCTGCGATTCAGGTCTGTTTGCCAATCTTGGTATTTTCTTTGTAGTAGTTCCCGTTTCATTTCTTCACACAAACTTCACAACCATGTTACTGGTAACTATAATCTTCTCTTTAGGCGCTTCTGCAACACTCAAAAGAAAGAAATATATATCTTATATGATGAAAAGTGTAGTTTTGGTCCTTCTAGGACAATTTGGGAACTGGGTTTTCCATTTGATAGGCCTCAAGGGAACTACTATACAGTTGTGGGCTGTGTTGATGGGTTGATTTGCTTATGGGATGAAACTCATGAACTCAACCCTGTGACTCTGTGGAACCCCGCCATCAGAAAGTCTTATCAGGTTCCTAATCTTTATTGTAAACCGTCTGGTAGTAGATCACTGACTTACCTAAAATGTTCTTTTGGGTTTGGCTTTGATGCTGTAGCTAATGACTATAAAATTTTAAGGATCGCCTTTTGGTTTCGTAATTTCACAGCAAGTAGGACAGTTGACCGTAGGCCATTGTCTTTTTCGACTAAACCTGTTGCATGCTCTGCTGATATTTTCTCTCTGAGTACTAAATCATGGAGATGTGTCAGTAATTCTGTATCCTTGCAGCAATTAAGCGTTCCTGTTTTTGTTAATGGCGCTCTCCATTTCTTGACTCGCAAAGATGGTAATCAGTGCTGTATCGTGTATTTTAGTCTGAATGCTGAGACTTTTATGGAAATGGCATGTCCTGAGGGCGGGAAACTTAATATTGACTCAGATCATCGGATTGTGGGATCCGCGGGGACTATTTTCCTGCTCCACCAATTTCCTGGGTATCGATATGACATATGGGTAATGAAAGAGTATAATGTGGAAGAGTCGTGGACCAAGCTATGCAAAATTGAATTGGAATTGTTCCCTGGATTTGGATGGAAACAATTACTTAGCATCAATAGGAATGGCGGATTAATTATATGTGGAACTGGTAGCTGGATTTGCTACCCGCATGTTGAAGGTGTACAAATTTTGGATTTTCAGCCTCTGGACTCATACATTGGTCCACATGCAGAAGTCTATTCAGAAAGTCTGGTTCTATTGGGGGACGACAATTGTGTAACACATCTGCAACAAAATAATGATGCCAATATGCAGGAGGAACATATAAGAAAAGGACTTGAGATTCACCATTATCCTAGCAAGAGGCGGGGATAGAGTGCACGATTGCCTTCAAATAATTTGTAAGCTTCTTTTTTCCTTGCTGGCTTTCTGGATTCTTGAACTTGCATCAATTGGTTAAGTAACGATGAAATTGCTTATGAATTATCTAATTGTTGCTTTACTATGAGCTGAATGTTACAACCCCATAGTTTCCCAAATCTAGGGTGTTTATAAAAGTTTTTATTATTCATCCGTGGTTTGTAATTTTGTATTACGTGCTCTAGTCATTATATTCTGCTACCATGTCAAGTCAATTTTGTTTCTTCTTTTTATATGGACGTCTTAATTTGTTTTTCTTTGTCACGTGTAGGTTTCTGCATTTATAGTCCCTATGTCTAGCAAATTTTAATGCATGTCTGACTGATATCCTTGCTAAATTCATATGTTTTGCTTGTTTGTCACGTAAACTTGAAATATCTAGCTGGTTCTAATGTGCGTGACTGATATTTGAGGTGTAATCTATTGTAAATCTCGAAAATGCATCTTCATTTATGCTTTATTTAACTTGTCTATGAAATATAGTTGGTACCACTTTAGTAATCAGTGAAAATAGATTATTGCTTGAACATTTTTTTTCAGTATTAGAGCAGTAACTTTAAGAGTTATAGTTATAATTTATAAATGAATGCTTTGTGCAAATATTCTAATTGACTATTAGAACAGATAAGTTAGTAACTCTAGTCTAGATTCCATTTCGGAAAGGAAAGAAAAAAGTTATTCTTTGGACAGGCAGAGTGGAGGGACAAAATTTTGCAGAGGACATGACTTGACTTTAAATATGTGTACTCTTATTTTCTCTATGAAGTGTTTTGCAAAATGTTTTATTTCCTTTTGTAAGTCTTTCTCAAACCTCTTATGGGTTTTCCCTCTCTTTTTATCTCGTCTTAGCCCTCTTTTATAAAAATTTCCTCAAGTTCTGTTTGAATATCCTCTTCTTCTGGGTTTCCACTACACTGCCCTTGCCTCTTGCTTGCTATGTCTCCCTCATTTTCTTCCACTTTCTTTTAATTTATTTGATTATTTTTCTTGTTTCACTTTCATGAACAGTTCCTTATGATGACTTATGTTAAAACCCCATATCATTTTTGTTTTTCATGTCTGTGACCAACAAGTAACAATGCTAAAGAAAAATAGTCTTAATAAGAAATTTTCATATGAAAACAGTCTCAGAGATTGAATTTCTGTTGCTTCTAGGGCTTGACTAATAGAATAGATTGACTAGGAGTGTGAAATACAAATTATTTCACGGGATTTAATCAAAAAAAAAAAATCCATACTTACTACACTTGCTCCTCTTCTTCATTTATTTATTATTTTTTTATATCTATACAATTGCTAAACTGTAGATCCATTGTCCTCTTCTTTACCTAAGTTTACGTTAATGTTGATATCTTGATAAGAGTTTTTCATGGATTCTTAAATGATTCAGCATCTTGGTTTCCCATCGTGGCTTTTGCAATGCAGTGAGATTCTGTATGGAAACATGATTATATTGAGTGAAATAATCTTTATGCTTATTGTTGCATAAGAAGGCTGAACATTATTGCTCAGGTTTGAATCTAAATACTTTTAATTTCGAACTTTACAAATGGTCAGATAAAGTTCCTTTACAGTTGAAACAAATGAATTGCTGAACGTACATCAATAATAAATGAACTGCCTCTAAAGGAATCATTTTGTCGTAAGATGATGCACTTATTCACGTCACATTATTGGTCACATACTCACATTACTTGCCTGGTTTGTTCTATACAGGTGTTCATATGTGTTTAATTAGCCTTGTAGTTTTCAGTCTCTTAAATATCGTTTTCTCGGATTTATGCAAGCTGTGGTATTGTGCCTATTGTGCCTGGTGTATTGCCAGACCTATGACTACTATGTGGCCGTGTGCTGCAGCTGTTGCATTTATTTCTTTTTTTTTCTTCTGAAATGGCCCTGTTCAGCAGATGTGCTGCAGCTGTTGTTGCATTTATTTCTTGTTTCATTGCAAATACTTAGTTTGAGGTGAATTCAATGATATCCATGGGTGTACTTACATATCAACATGTTGATGTGAATTCAACATTGTTTGCCGTGTAACTTTAATTGTTGTCAATTATAAACTAGAAATTTATTAGAAAATATATTGGTTATGAAATTTGATAATTAGTAGCTATTTTCCAAGTTGCATGCTAGAATTAGTCAAATGTTTTGCTGAAATAGTGCATGCATACTTCTAAGATTTTGTGGGAAAGGCACATTTATATTAGGGAATATATTAGCCACAATAGCACCCACTATGACAAAGGTGCACTCCACATCACAAAGACATAAACTATGCACTTGGATGCACATAGCAGCATAAATGACACCGGCGAACTGAGATGCCGTCGAGAAGTGGAATCTTCAATTTTAATGCTTTTTATAGATTTTTTTGTATATAGTTTTGTTTAATTCTTTAAATACTTCTCAACCTCCACCATTAAAATTGATTATTTCAATAAGTTTTTGCCATTATTTTCCTTTGTTTGCTTCTAATTACTTTTTTTTTACATCTCACGTGATTGACTTAGTTTTCTCACTCTTACAATGTATTTAATCTCCCTTTAAATTATTATCTCTCTCAATCTCGACCATTAAAGTGTTGTATATCAAAACCAGAATATCAATTTGGCCTATTTTAAAATCTAATTTTGAAATTTTTGTTTAAATTAAGTATTTTGAACCATTTTGTGGGCTTGGTATTAGAAAGTGACATATGTATCCTGAAATTTGGTGGAATGAAATGATTTTCGAATGATTTTCTTTTTATTTATCAATTTAATATATGACTTGGCTAAAAGAGAGAGGAAACTAAGTCAATCACGTGAGATTAAGAAGTGTTTAAATTTAAGGAAAATAATTAATAGAAGGGAAAGATGACTTAGTCACGTGTGATGGAAAATCATGTAAGTTTAAAAAATATTTAAATAATAAGAAAATAATGAAGATTCCACTTTTTTCACGGAATCTTAGTTCATTTGTGTCCTTTATGCTGTTATGTGCACCCAATTACATAGTTTATAATGTGAACCGCACCCTTGAAAGATTATGTTGTTACACGCATTTTTGTCATAGTTAGTGTTATTGCGGCCAATATATTACGAATCTTAAGATTCAATTTTAAAGATCCTTTCGAAGCAAGCATGTGATGTCTTTAGCCAATCCAGATTTTTCATTGTTGCATTGAGAGCTAGAAATATTTCAGTAGCTTACTTTCCCGTTTTAGTTTGTATAGTTACTGTATGATGGACACTACATTTGTTTCCCTTCGAGTGGTTTTCTAAGTGTTCGGTACATTCCTCTACACAATAGTATTTTACAGTACTTTTCCAGTTTCCATCCTACGGGAACAGAGATAATTCAGACACCTAACTATATCGACGTTGTTACTAATGAGTATGACTGGCATGCATGAGGTTGTATAAAAATGCTATAGCTTGCTAAATACAAGAAGTTGCTAAGATGTATGCTGACTCTTTGCTGTTTGTTATTATAAAGAAAAGTCGTCTTCTTTTATAATTTATTTTGTACCAAAATCTTATTTGTAAAGCAAAATAATAGTTGCCATTGAGATGATGTTTGATGAAATTTCTGTAGTTGTGAAAGGTGCTCATGCTTTTCCTGAAAATTCACAGGAAAATTGAGATCGAGTGATGTTCATGGGGATATCAGTCAGAGAGAAGCATAAGCCATCAAATCTGGAGACCGGAACGTTGGTGTAGCCGCCTTAGTTATTTAAAATCACTGTTGCAAACTCTTTAGCAGCTACTCATTTTCATTTCGTTTTATGCTCTAGTTCTCAGTACTCCAACCTCTACTGCAGCAGCCTTAAAGGTTTAAAACTTTGTTGCAAACTCATAAGCAGCTTGTTGTTTTCTTTTATTGTGGTTCTGTTTCGTACTGTTGTTCTCGGTACACTGATTGAGATTTTAGTATGAGTTTGAATGTTTGATTGGATTGCATATGTAGGCCTTGTTTAGCAAATGGTTGTTGGCGGTTGGCTATTGGCTGGTTCACTTGGCTTATTTGACCAGATAGAATATTTGGTAAATTTAGTTGTTTGTTGTTTGTTAGATAATTTGTGGGCCAACAAGTAGGAATGACAACGGATCGGATTCTGGTCGGATGAAGCTTCACACGCATCCACCCAAATTTACCATCCGCTCCACCCGATCCACCCGTCACCCGCAAAATCCATCACCCGCATCCGATCCATCCGTCATCCGTGGGTGAAACAGGTGGATCGGATGCTTAGCGGGTAATAATTATAATCCCTACTCTAACTATCTAATACATTATTTTTTTAAAAAATCTTTTAGCTAATTTTAAACTTGAATAACAAATCATTAATAATCATCTAATTCCAAACTATAGCATTAATAAAAATAAAAAAATAAAACAAAAAATCAAAAAAGAAATGAAGTTACAAGATAGTAGTACAGTACGATAAGGGGGTGTTTTATATATTTGTAAAATAAATTTAATACTAGTATTTTTTTACAAAATATTTTTTTAGAAATATATATACATAATAGAGTATATAGGGTCAAAAACAATTTTTTTGGTAAAAAAAATCATTTATATGTATATATATTCTAGTGGATGGTGAATCGGGTGATAAACGGATGACGGATCGGGTGATGGATGAAACGGAGCCCCACCTGAATCCGACCTGATTCGTCACTCGCTCCATCCATCACCCGCCCTTCATCCATTTAATGCGGATTTTCGTCCATTTATTTATATCGAATGGATCGGATTAGCGGATATCCATTTAGAATTGTCATCCCTACCAAACAAGCACAAAGCCAACAAAAAAAGCTACTCATAGCAACTTTTTCATTTTGACTTAAAAGCCAGCTTTTTCGCTAACTGAAAAGCCAATTACCAAACACTTTTTTTTGGCTGTTTGACCACTTAAAAAAACCAAAAGCTAACCAAAAAACCATTTACCAAACATGGCCATAAATTAAATGCTTTCCTATTTTCAAATATTAAAAGTGTTTAGCTCTTCATTTGACTGGAATACCAGTTAACGGGCTGAATAGAAGTTCTCCAAGATTTACAGCTGTTATGATTTTTAGACTGACCCACTTTTATTCTTTACCCTTTAAAAGAACAGAGGAAGTATGGGTTTTAAATTGTGGTTGGTCAAAACTATAACCTACAAACCTATTGATTTTGGTCTTTTTCAGCTATGCTTGTCAGTAAGGTAAGAGGGGCAATATCTATTGTAGACTCGGTTAAATTGTGTACACAGTATATTCAAGACTATTTCTTTACTCATTTGTTCATTTTGGAGAAAATATGATGAGTTGAACTGATTTTTTTTGTGCACATACAAGTGCCTAGGCGAGGAAGTGACAACATTACAAAATTGATTTCTGTAAGAGAGTATCGCTTTAACCGGATATGCCTATAAAGTATAAACTATCGACAAACAATTAATGTTTACAAAAGATCTGATGGTTATTAGTTCCATTTATTGGCATTGAACGACCCACTTTCTGATTCCTGCATCTGTAAGATTGCAACAACGGCCAAAAGATCTTATGCAATATTTGCCACTGTTAGGCTTGGTGAGTGCACAACGGAAGCGAAGATGTGTTTGATTGAGAAATATAAACTAAATTGATAATTGACAAGATAATTAATATAAATGAACACACGATTTTATACAACAACGAGCACTTTTATTCCACTATTTGAAAGTATGAGAGTACAAGAACCCTTGAGAGGGTGATTATTACAAGAGAACTCTTACTATAAGAAACTCACAAAGGAGTATTATGATAGTAGTGGAATATTACAAGGAGAGAGAATATTTTGTAGAAAGGCTTGTATTTGGTATGGTTTCTTGTGTTTTTGTGTTGTGTTGTTGTTGTTATTGTTATGCCCTTGACCCATATTTATAGGTGAGGATGGAGGCTTCTAGATTTTTATGGGAATTTCTCCATAATTATGGCTCTTAATCTAGAGGCTTCTACTTTTAATATTCTCTAGAATATTCTAGGAGATATTAAAGTTGTAGATAACTCTAGAAAAATCAAGTGTAATCTTCTCTTGATTTTTCAGGAAGCTTCTAGATTATACTCCATCAATATAATGGGCTTATAAAATTTGGGTCATACCCAACAGCCACATTATGCTCGCTTCCCCCCGACAGTTTCTTTTGAGGCTTGATCTAATTTCTCACTCTGTAAAGCTAGTCTGCCGGTAGAATTTGACACAGTGTAGTTCACCAACGCATCAGTCTTGGCAGCTTCCATGTACAATACTCATACTGAATTTTAGAATTGCCTAAAGTAGACATCCTTGTCATAGAATTTATTGTAGACCACTAATATTAGAGACAATATCCATCATTTTATTTTTTCAATAAAAAGGGTTACTATGTTAAAATACAGAACATCATATTAAACTAAAAGTCATTGTATTATTATGAAGGAGATAAGATGTTAATTTTTTTTTTTTTAATAATGTAGTAATAATAAATGTCACTGTGTTAATATTAGGTCACTATGCTCGACATAACGTCGACTGCACGTGTGTATTTCAAACTCACAATAATATTAAAGGTCACACAAGTTTTAATAAAGGTCACTATGTCCAACATAACGTCAGTTGCGACTTTGCGAGCGTATGGACTTAAGGTCAACAATAATATATACTAGTTTTGTGCCCTGGACTCCGGACTGAGTTTTTTTATTGAATATAAAGATAAACTTTTTTTTGTTATTTATATACCAATTATTAAAACATATTTGTTAAAAAAACATATATCTTTGGTCTTTTGATTTTGGATATTTTGCGTAGGATACCATTGATTTTTAAAGAGTGCAATATATACTATAGAAATATACACTAAATATATGAGAAAAATTTCTATGTTATTCGAATTAGATACATCATGGATTAATATAAATTACCCATTGATTCATGGCTAAACACTCACACCAAATTCTCTAATTCTCTCTTAATCTCTCTCTTTAATTTTCTCTTCTCTTTTTCTCTTCTTTTTCTTGTTCTTGCGCCACCACCACCAATCACCACGACCACCACCACCAATCACCGTCGACCACCACCCCGACCACAGCCCCGGCAGCCGCCACCTCTCTTCTCCTCTTTTCCTTGGTTTCCTACCTCTTCTTCTTCTCTTCTCTTATTTATTTAATTATTATTATTATGAAAGATTTTTAAAAATTATTATGAGTAGTTTAAATTAAATAAAATCAGATTTTTATTCATGTTTATGAAAAATAATTTAAAAGGTTCATGTACATATAGAGTTGGGGCCGTTTGTGTGGCTTTTAGATAATACCTGGTTGCAGTAACCCTCTAGGAATTTCATTTTGCCGGATGGACCACTTTTGGGTCCTTGCCGGGTGAAACCTAGATGCAATGGATCATTTCTAACGGCGGTAAATTTCTTTTAAGAGAATGTCGTTTGAGTTATTGGATCGCTAGAACAATGTACCACACGGAAGGGAGCTGTTTTCTTCAACGATTTCACCCGGATGGATGTGTTTGATCCAAGTTCTTGAAGTTTCTTTGTGTGTGCTAAGCAAGGACCAAAGGTATGTTTAGGTAGCTAGATACCTTTGAAATTGATTGGATTGAATAAACATGTTTTATATGATTTTTATGATGATTGGATTGAATTAAATTGAATTGAATTATGAAATAAAAGCATGTTTAAATAAGTGGTTTTGATAAAGAAATTGGAGGATTGATTTTATATCATGTTTTGAATAATATAATTATTATTTATCATGTTTTAAAGGTTTGATTTTAAAAGCATGTTGAATTTAAAGTGTTGTGTTCAATGGTATCAACTATAATTACTGAGGACATTATTGTCTTTTGTCATTAACGAAAAGTTAACGGTGTTAGTAATAAGAGTGTCTAATATATAATTATTATTTGTCAAGGGTACACGGTTCATTAAAAACTTTCAAAGGGTACGCAGTGCATTTTTTTGAAGCGGGGGTTCACTGAACAATTTCCCTTATTAGAAACCATGATCAGTCTACAAGACTACAATTACCTTCTTGGCTACTCTTGTTCTTCACCCTTATCATTCATCAACATTTCTAAAAAATGCAACAATTCTTCTACTACTCTACCCATAAATTGAGGAATTGTCGAGATGAATTTATCTGGAATATATTCAACCCTTTTCCAGATATCGAATCTTGTATACCTACTGCATCTTAGTTAAGTTATTGGCTGTCTTATAATTTTCTTTCATTGCTTAACTTTTTTGAATTCTAATTGATTTTTACATTGTCATTTTCCAGATTAATCCCCTTTTGGCCCACGAATTCAGATGGGTGTTCAGAGATATGGAATTTCAGGTGCAGACAAAAGGGATTTGTGTTTTCCTTTGATTTTCTGCAAATTTCTGAGTTTTTTTTTTATTTTTATTTAATTTCTAAACTGGGACTTATGAATTGGTTCAGTACCCAAGAAATTTTTTAAAGCAATACACTTGTTTGTATTATTGATGATAAGGTTTCATTTGCGTGTTTCAATTTCTGAATGTAGTGTTTTGGAGGCGATAGGAGGTTTGGACAGTGACGAGGGCCAATTCTAACACCAACCTTGAATATTTAGTAATAACATAATAAAGTAAATTAGAGGTTTGCATTATAATGGTATTGGTTAACAATTAAGAGTTAGAGAGGCATGGCCAATGGCCATGGCATGCTTGGGTCCCTTAAAAGCCTCGCCCCGAGTGTTTATCCTGGTGTTGCTTTCTCTACAATAGTATCTATCTTGCTGCGGATGTTGAATTTTGACTAAATGTACAAATTAAGAAAGACAATAAATAATCTCGTTTGGTTAATTGAATAAGCGGATGTCTAATGTGGTTTGTTTATTACAATTAAGGGCATTGTAAGATTGCAGGAAATACATATATTCATTCATTCAATTTCCTGAAACATTAGTGGGACATCTT